CGCTCGAGCAATTTTCGACTTTAACGGCGTTAAATATTTACAAAAGTCTACGGGAAGACATCCATTTATATATAAAATTTTTAACAGCTGCTAGCACAAGAAGAGAAAGGAATGGAATCACTCAAGCTATAATGAATGTCTTTTGTCGTCGGGCCTCGCCTGCTGCTGAAACTCAAGAAAACTTGTCAGAATCGTCAACATCAACTTTGGTCGAAACCGAATTCAACGAGTACTTTATCCCTCCGAAAACTGGATTCAAACGAGGCCGTATCCCTGCAGTATTCAGAAAACCACCACCACCACCATCTCAATTTTCAGAAGGCGTCAAACCAGATCCACTTGAAATATCCAAACACTTGCTACAACGTATTCGTAAACTTGAAGCTGAAGCATCACCATACACTACCACTGCTACTATTACCAAGAGATACACTCCAGCTCAACGAATATTGAAGAAAAGTCACGTCTACCAAAACAAGCGAGGTTTGCTTCCCATCCCGTTTGTGCTTGAAAATCGTGTCAAAGAGTTGGAAAACTTATTGGAAAGTCATGATTTTGAAGCAAACGCTGAGCTCTTGTTTGCATTGTTGGGTTTGCCTGAAGCTACTGCTGAAGGAGAAGAAGGTGAATCTGTCTCATATCTACCACCATTCTCAGTAAGTCATGCGACAACGATTGTGTGCTTTATGCAACGATGCTCACCTGGCCTCTTTGCTTTTTACTAGCCAAATTTTGGAAAGAACAATGTTTCAATGTTTGATGATGTTTTGGATATGATGAACTCTGCACTGGATGGAAAATCTGGCTTGTAAGTGAAGATGTGGGTAGAACCCTTTTCGCAACATAAGGCTAAAGGTGCAATTACTCTCTTGCTAGATTGCCTTCAATTGATGCTTTTGGCTCGACTAGAACCCTCGTACTTGAACAATGCTAAAAGGTTTAGGCCTCTCTCTCTGGTCGTCTCGCATCAACATCTCCTCTTTGTCTCCTTCTTGTTTCCGAATATACTAAGTAAGTGGCAGAGCGCTATTGAGCTTACGTTGTTGTAATGTCAGAACTGACTTGCGATGACCTCCGCTTTAGATTGAACTCATGTGAATGGTTGAATGAAAGCAACCGCATTCTTCACCGAAGCCAGAAGCGCCAGCACAGCACTTTTTTCCATTATTACTGCAATTATTGTCTCACCCGTAGTGCTCGGCGGGTTGCCAACCAACCAGCCATGATAGAGTGAAGAAACACCCATTTCGTACCATCATCACTTTCCGAATACCCCGTAGCACAACCATGACTTCCGATACCATCTAACGGCATATGAAATGCCCGCATCTGTATAATAGAGTTAGTTCCCACGCCATCCTCATAACCACATCAACCTGCAAAACAGTCAAAACAAAACCACCACCGTAGTAATGGATTTACGATAATGAAGATAGTACAAACAAGTGCCAGCAATAGGGCCAGTCACGTGTGTCCTCATTTATTCTCATTTGTGTCAGATCTGGAGCTGAGCTCTGAGGCCACTTTGTATATATTGGTAGGTTGTAAGGTGAACTTTTTCGGCACGTACAGATAGCCCCAATATAACTATGAAACTGGAATTTGCTATGCTGTTTTTGATCTTAGTCTTCCCTTCTTGTCCAGCAGAAATAAGCAGGTTATCGTTTTTGACTCACCAACGCGTAAAGAACGAGGCATAGAATCGCAGATCATTAGTATATTGATAGGAAGCCTATCATTTGCTTTCATGCCGCAGGTTTGGAGTCTGATCACTCACATTTTCAAGAACTGTTCTCATTTTTTGGACTTTTGGTTGACAACGAGTAAGTGGCAATTGAGCTTATGAAACAGCAGGAGGTCAACTGTTATGGAGTCTGAGGACGGAGTTGACGAAGCCCAAGACGGTAAGTGAACGTTTGTCGCTGGTGAAGGGCAGAGTTGCTTGCCAAGTTTCTGTTGTATGTGGATGGTGATAAATGTTTGAAAGATTGCAGCCTTCACATATGGATCACGCTCATTTCTCTTTGATTATAGTGAATGAACCTCCGGCACAGAATACAAGGAGGGCTGCTGCATTGAAAAGAGCTGCTTCATTAGGTTCGTGTCAATCAACTACAACGAGGGCAGTCTTGGACACATCTTCACGGATGCTTTTGATGGGCTATACGGATGACCAAGAATATGATGAAAAGTCTAATCTGTTGCCGTTCACATTCATAGGACTGTCAAACGACGAAGTTAGTGCAATCAAAAGGGCGAAATATGTGGATTCCTCCAGCAGCGAATCGGATTATGACAGTGATGATCTTGATTTCGCTCTAAACAGGAGGCGACCTTCAAGAGCCGGTCCCTCATCATCATCATCAGCCGCAGCAGGATCATCTTCGTCTGCGCGACCGCAGATACCTATAAGTACAAACAAATCGGTCGCTTCTTCTTCATCATCATCTTCTTCTCGACTTCCCGTCGTCCGTAATGCTGCTGCTGTCCCGCTTCGACTGGATATAACGGTAAACATAGAAATCGCGGCTCAGAATGCCGCACAAACAAGTTGGCCTCAAGATGCTTCACAAATAACTCAACCTCAAGTTCCAATATTATATCGACCACCCCAACCGTATATAAATCCTGATACAGGACATGTGCCACGTCCACCTGTTGTATCGAGAACTTGGACCTTAATCCCAGGCAACGACAACGACAACCGACATCAAAATAACAATAACGACAATAATGACGCTGCTGATATACCCGCCAATCCTCGTGCCAACGATAATAATATAATACAAGTACTAGACGACCCAGCTCCAAATTGGCCTCCTGCACCGCTACTACCAATAGTTGCTCCTGTACCTCTACCTCAACCACCTGTTGCTGCACCTGACATTGTAGCTATAACTGAATTTGGTAGGCCAGCTCCAGATATAGAAGGTGACCAGATGTCTAATGAGATCGCAAGAGCAATGTCTGAGGAAATGCTACGAGAGACGATACAGCAAGTCCGAACAGATCCGAACGCCGATGTCGAAAGCCAACGTCTGGCTTTCGCTTGTTATGATAAACTGCAGGCTATACAGCAGGATCATCAATTTGCTCTCGAAGTAGCTAATGCACATGCTGCTCCTGCACCGGTTGCTGTCGCACGTCGAGCAAGTCGCGGGAGGGGTCGTGGTGGTAGAGCTCGTACATTCTTTGTTCCGCGTCGCCGAGGTGTGCGTGTAGCTCCTCCAGAAATAGAGGCAGATATAATGGACCATTCAGATACGGAAGAGGAAGGCGAAGATGAAGATGTGCCTGCAGCTACAGGAAGCCGCTTCGGTAATACGATCCCGCAGAATGATGAAGTCGACGATGAAGCAATGCAAGAGTTGGCATTGCTCATGAGTCCGAAATGTAGGGAACGTGTCATTATGAACTTGACTACAATTCAAACTGTGGGTCAAGATTGTGCTATATGTTGTTCAACGATTGATGAACAAAGTCAGGCCAATTGTGTTATTGTCTCAGGTATGTTATGTTTGTATATAATGTGACGGTTTATTTGGGATCGTAGTATACTTACATCTTTTTTGTTAGGATGTGGCCATATCTTCTGCAGGGCGTGTCTCGAGGCATATCTGAACTCCCCAAATCCAAATGGATGCCCAGAGTGTCGGGGGCCTCTTCAACGTAACACACTTGTCGCAGTCAGCACATTTTGTAAGCAGCTGTATTAAACTGGAAACATCAGAATTCTGCAGTATATGAATTACAATATATTATTCTCTTTGGTACAATTATGCTGGAACCAATAGCTGCCCGAAATGTTCTGGCTTTCACATGTGCCTGTTAAATGGCCAAAAGGGATCTGAGTATACATCGCCCCTACCAGATCAAAAGTTTGTAAACCCAATAATTGAATTGACCTTCGCAAAACGATTGTTGGAACATATATGGTGTATTTTTACAGTTTTTCGTTCGTTCTTTGTCGTTTTTGCGAATCGCATTATTTCAACAAGCGCAACATGATCGTTTCTCAAGGCAAAAGGAGGAAAGCACAACCAAGATATTGTGATGGATGTGGTATACAGTTTCTTTCAGTGAAGGATTTCGGAAACATTCTTGTGAAGCAGAGAGAACTGCGGCCAAACGCGTCATCAACCACATCACACATCGCGTCATGCGACTATAACGCGGTGTAGCCTCGAATCAGAGACACAGCTGCGTAGAAATTCGGATGTATTGATACTGTCTTGATTCAGCCCTTCGTGCTGAGGCCTCTTGGTAGTTTTTGATAGATGGTAAGGTGAACTCTTTAGCGTGTATAGGTAGCCCAAATGTAAATACAGAAAGAAAACATGTAAATAATAGCCAGTAGAACGAGCAAATTTCGGCATGTTCGCAGTCACTGGATTTGCGCCTAACTTTGCACAAACTGAAGACAACATTCACTTCGACGAAGGCAGGATGCAAGAGGAGGAAGAGCCCTCATACAAGGAGCGCATCATCATTCATATCGAGTAAGTACTCTATCTTGATTGTTCTGATTGATTCGTCCAACTGACTAGAATGCTTTCAAATGCGCGTGTAGCATCGATTGCTTTTATGCGCAGACGGAAGAGATAGCTCGTCCAGAATTGAAACTTCTACCTCTGGCTATTCAGCAAAAGCACATTGTCGTCACTTGCAACTGTATGTTGGACTCGCCAGCAGTGACATCTGCATCTTCAGAATTTCAACATTCCGTTCATTGGATCGAATTCACCTCTCAGTTGAGCTCACACTTGATTGCAAAACTATAGACGAAGCTCGAAAATACGGTGTTGGCAAGCTGGAACTCTTAACCGAAGCACTCAAAAAATGTCCACAGCTGGTCGTGGTTAGTGGTGAAGACATTTCAAGATATCGCAGAAGCAGCCGTCATATCTTTGACCTCGTAAACGTCGCCGTCAATGGAAACTCATCACTGCCTAGAGTCAATGTTGAGCGTCTCGGCTTTGATGAACTCTTTATTGATGTTACCGATATCGTCTCTGCTCATTTGGATCAGGCTGGAATGGACATTCCTATTGGTTCGATAATACAGCTGGATTTGTTTCCTGATCTCGAATCGATAGTGGATGAGAATGACTGGTCGCCAATGTATTTACGATATCAGTATGGGACGTTTGAAGGCAATGTTGTTGGTGTACAACCTCAGCAGTCACTTGATCGTCAGCATTTATTGCTTGCAACTGCTTCACACTTGGCTAGGCATCTTAGGCATGTGATATACCGACGATTAAAGTATACGTGTAGTTCTGGAGTTAGTGTGAATAAGTTGTTGTCCAAGATTGTTGGGACCAAACTGAAACCAGAGTCAGTAGAATTAATGTATAGATATGTTTTCGAGAAGCAGCATTATTTACATGGTTTTCAATGCTAGTGGTCAATCAGTGTTGATGCCGAGTGAAACCTCCACATTTATGAATGGTGTCAGTCTGCGAAAAGTGACTGGAATTGGACGTAAAACAGGTGCTGAAATCGTAAACTACATAGCTACAGTCAGACCAGAATGGGATGGAGAGAAGGACGAATGGGGACATCCCAAAAAGATGCCAACGTGTGTAGAGCTACTCGAAATCGCTGACCTAAAGCAGTGGTCCAGCTGGTTTGGAGATGCACTAGGCAAGAAGATTGATGGACTCTTGAGAGGAATAGACCCATCTCCTGTAATCCCAACAGGTTTATCACAACAAATATCAGTAGAAGACTCCTTCCAGCACTGCAATACCACCGCCGATGCACGTACACGTCTGATAGAGCTAGCTACATCATGGCTCGAGAGAGTACAAGAAGAAGAATATGTCGAAACCGATAATAGTAGTTTCCTGAATCTCCTCTTGTATGGTGCTGCTCTTGATAAACAGCAGGAGAATCCATCACAATGGCGTAGACATGCCACAACACTGCGACTTACCATCCGTTTAAGAAAGCCTGGAGAGCGAGGATGGAGTGGCGACAGAGAGTCAAAAGCTACTGCACTACCTGTGGACGTGTTTGATACTACCATATCTATACCAGATCGTGCACAAGCACTAGCAGATCGACATCTAGTACCATTGTTAAGCAAGATGGTGCAGTCGCGTCCGCAGTGGGACATGACGCTACTCAATATTAGTTGCTCGGACTTTAAACTTGGACCGCCCCAGAAATCTATTAGTAATTTCTTTAGGAGTGATGACGGCAAGGGTATGGTTGCCAGTAGTGGTAGCAGTGGTAGCAACGATACACCACCAAAGAGTCCTCCCAGTAAGGCCGATATACTCAAACGGTTGGGAATAGATCCATCTGTATTCGAAGAACTGCCGATTGATGTGCAGGACGACATCTTGCAAGAAGCTCAACAGCCTTTAAATAGTAAACCTGTAAATAATAGTACGAGCAACACAACCTCATCATCGAAACGAAAGTCTGAGAGCAACACAACCAAAAAGCCAAACAAGGTCAGAACGCTCGACGCGTTCTGGACAAGTAAATAAATAGGTAAAAGACTTGTGCTAATTGTAGCTGTAAATCACTGTACTTTATTCAACAAACTTATGAAAGCAAAGAAACTCTGGGTGTCGTTGAATGCTGAGCACGATTCAAAAACACTGTTCCACGAGCACCAACTATTGCAATTTTATATTTGACCAACATGTCTGTAATCTTCTTTCGTATTACGGGCTTGGTAAGACCAGCTTCGTTAAATCCAGCTGCCTTGAGTTGGCCCGCAGATTCTCCAGAAACCAAGTTTCCAGTGACGGCAATGATGGGGCATGTCACGTTCATAGCTCGCATTCTTGTAGCTGCTTCGAAGCCATCCATGACTAAGACGAGAAATTTAGGTTAATTCGATTTTGGTTGTGGGTGCAGAAAACGAGTCATATGCAGAAATGGAGTTATGGCCGAATACACACCAGGCATTTCAAGATCCATAAATATGATCTCATAAACGTTATGTCGACATCTCTCAACAGCCTCTTCACCATTAATAGCCTCATGTATCTCCATACCAGGCACCGAGTTCAACATTCTCACAAACACAGCACGATTAATTCCAGAGTCATCAACCACCAATGCCTTTGGTCGATGATGTGAAAGTCCCAGTAAAGCGGACTCATTAGAATGAGATGTATCCTGTCTTTCTCGGGCCTCCACAATGGCACGAGCAGGGTTTAATGACGATCCACCATTCATGACATCAGCACGTAACCGTTGGTCTATCGAGTCCATAGAGCTGATCGTGTTGCTACTCGAGTCTTCTTTCATGGAGGGTTCTCGAGTTGATTCGTCAGTAGATCCTCCATCAAGGAGAGCTGCAAGCTGCGTTACGACGGGTGGTTGAGGTTTGGCACCTGTTCGACGTAGCGAATTACTCAATGACGTTTCAGCCTTGTCATCATTCTCAAATCGGAATGATTTAGGATTGAATGGCGGTATTGGGGATGACGATGCTGATTGTGCTCCGGTATGCATTTGCAATGATTGTAGGAGCTGTTGTTGGAAGATTGCAGGGGAGGGACCAGAAGATAAACTGCTCATCTCATGGAATGTCTGTGGTCGACTTGCTCGTGAAGTCGACCTTCTATTAACAGAGGCATGGTGATCTTGTGATGACAATAACATTGCTAACGTGTCCTCACGACTCATAGATGCTGATTTCTTCACTGTGTCTGCTTCGCCCGTGAGTTTATATTTGGCAAACGTTGCTGTAAGGGTAGATTTTAATGGCGGCTTGACCATAAAGTCAAAGACACCTAATGGTTGTAATGATGACACAAACTCTGCTACACTAGCTAGAGCCGATATCAGTCCAACCAGAGGACCAAAGTAACCTGATTCTCGAATGGTTTGTACCTTTTGCGTGGCAGACGGAACGTCCGTCATGTCTAGTAGGACTAAAGGGTACTTTCCAGGTGCAAGCAAGCTTATAGCTGCAGTGACATTTACAGCTTCATCAACTGCAATTTGGCTAAAGTTGGTGCGAATAATCCGTACATATGTGGCTCGTGGTGTCTCGTTTTCGTCAATGAGAAGGATGGTAACAGATGGCTGAGTGGCACCTACGAATTTCGGTTCTGAATCTGAGGAGTTACTGGCAACACTAGCAACAGACATTCTCTTGTTGGCCTCAACATTCTCTGCTGCTGACTCCAAGTTTCTCAATAATGTGGCAGATCGGGGTCTCGCTCCAATACCAATCGGACTTGCAGCATGGTTTTCTTCCGACGAGCTCACACTCCCGCTGGGTTCTTTGAGCGCTAATTCAGCTTCAGTTCTGATTTCCTGCACTTTGGAATCGTATGGGATCCAAGTATCAAATCTAAATCGTTCAAAGGCTTGAGCAATCACAATCTTGCTGATGGGTTTACGGATGACATGATTGATTCCGACATGCTGGCAGAGCGCAAACAATGCATCATCGATTTCTCGAGAGGTTACAAGGATTATCGGTGTAATGGAATCAGAAGCTCTGATACGGCTGGCAACTTCGACACCATTCATGCCAGGTAATTCCACATCCATGAATATCCCAGCCACGGACGTGCTTGAAAAGATGTTTAGCAGATCATTGCCATTGGAAGCCTCCAGAAACTTGATTCGAGGGTTTACGGACTTGAAAATATTCGAGGCAAGCTTCAAGTAGATGGATGAGCGATCAGCCACCAAAACAGGGATGGGACCATCTCTCGACATGCTCTTGACGTTGTCGGCCCTGGCGGCACTACTAGCTCTGGACATGGTTCTGCGTGCCTGCATTTCAGGAGGTGGGGCAGCAGCAACTTTTTCAGCGTTACCATTGGCAGACGTAGTAGGATGACTGTATTCAGTAACCACCGACTTGGTTCTCGCAGTTGTAGAAAACCTGGTTGCGCGAACGACCTCCTGGTCTTCGTTTGAGAAGGCACTAGAGTATCGATTGCGGATCGTGTCTGTTGCATCTGAATCTGAAATGTCCATTCCACCGGCAGGCAAGTTGGCATTTTGCGACATGTTGGGACTATTTATGGGACCTGGGCCACTTCCATTAAGGTTCTCTGGAAGGACTGTTTTCGTAGAGGCGTCGACCGGCGCCGCCTCTGCAGCAGCCAATAGATTGAAAAACTGCAACAAAGCCTTGATATCTTTTCTCGAAACTGGCTTGACCAGCGACTTTTTAATACCAGCTTGTTCCAAGTTTCCAAATTGATCTGCTTTCAGGGCATCTCCAGTTACACCCACAATAGGGCAAATGACTTCTTGATGACTCATGCGAGCAGCTGTTTCAAGGCCACTCATTCCTGAGAGAAAAGTGGAGGTTATGTATGTTAGCTCAAATCTTAACCGATGTGGAGTACTTTTTAAGCTTATATAAGCTACCTGGCATATCCAGCTCCATCAGAATCAGATCATAGGCTGTAATTGTTGCAAGTCTCAGCGCATCAGCACCATCAAATGCTTCACTTATAGTCGCTATTCCGGGGAACCTCTGCAAAATTCGAACCATCACCCGTCGTTGGATTGCCGAGTCGTCAACCACTAGCAATTTGAGTGGCTTCAGTGGTTTTAAGGGCTGCAGAGGTACCTCACTTTCAGGGTTAGCAACCGCAGACGTGCCAGTTATACCAAGTGACGTTGTAGTTGAATTCGGTCTCTTTAATGATTCAGCAGTCATTCCTTGAGGCTTTGCTCCGCGTCTGCTTTTGGAATCAAACTGTGACGGCACTGATTCAACTTGTGATGGGTTAGACTTTAACTCAGAATCATTCGACATCGAGGTCCGTGTGGATAGGACTACTGGAGTCGTTGGTCGCGGCAGACTATTTGTAGCGGCCCGTGGTAAAGTTGACCCAACATTGCGAGGTAAACTCGAAGTGGTCTTACGTGACAATGTGCCCTTGGCCACTGTCAATGTGTCCGGAGTGAATGGTGGACTGCTTGGAGCTGAAAGTTTTCGTAACCGAACTAGAGGTATGGGCTCTCCGGCCAACGGAATATTGTATTTTGTCAATAATTCGGTGATTTGGTCACGATGGAATGGTTTCGGTAGAGTCTCTGTAACACCGGCGTCCTTGTAGATTTCGAAAGTTTCTACATTCTCTCCCGGCATGACTGAAGCTGTAGTAGCAATTATGGGAATATCTACTCCAAAGCTTCTTAATTGTTGAGTTGCGGCTTGCCCATCTAAACGTGGCATCATAATGTCCATAAATCTATGAGAAGAAGGTTGGAGAAAAGAAAACTTGCCAAATGACACATTGACAAAACGCCCAAATCACTCACATGATACCAAATCGGCCTCCGAACTTGTCAAACTTGTCTAGTGCCTCTTGCCCATCTTGGGCTTCATGTACTTCTAGCCATGTAAGTTTTTTCAGCATTCGATTCAGGATGGCCCGGTTGATACTTGAATCATCAACAATCAATATCGCCATTGGCGCCGATTCGATGGATGACGAGGGAGCGATACTAACGGTACTGCTATGCCGTGTATCGAGTTCACCAGTCGCCAGTCTTTGTGAAGTATCAGCGGAGATAGCTTGAGAAGCACTCTGAATCGATACACTGTTGGGCTGTATAGGGTCTGGTTTGAGAGGTGAAGAAGTACTCTGCCCTGACAGGAGGTTGCTCTGAATATGCTCTGCTCTGAGATTTGACGAAGCCACAACCTCTTTATCATTTTCATTAAACACGGCGATGGTCGGAGACCCAGGGCCTACTTCTACCTCCTCTTGTAGACGGTTCAGCGGTTTCTCTGAGAGAAGAAGCACTTTGTTCGGCGCCGAGCTCTGGCATCTGCTTGCTCCATCATCGTTATACAAGCCTTGGAAAGACTTATCCATGTGGAGATGGGATAGTTGTCGTTGTATTTGCAAGGTGATTTTGGCACTTGCTGCTGTTTGACGATCTTGAATAGTCGCGGGATCCTTTACACTCAGATTAGGGATTGATGGCACATATGATCTGAGAGGAATACGGAAAGTGAGTAATGACCCTTCTCCTGGTTTGCACGTCACCCATATCCGTCCACCCATCAGCCGTATAATGTGATCCGTTATCGCTAGACCGAGGCCAGAGCCACCATACTCTCGTAGTGAGTTGATAACAGCGATAGCATACGGCTATATTTGCGAATTTGTGTCAAAAAATGAAACAGTCGATTTCAAAACCTTTTGTGACTTACTTTGAAAATGTGATCGATGAGTTCAGGATCAAATCCAGCACCATCATCGCGTATTGAAACTTGGAGCCACGGTATAGTTTCATCTGGGCTTAGAGCAGCCCAGTCGATATCAGTTGGAGCGTTTTCAGGAACATTTTCATTGGGCACAACGGAAGCGTGAACATATATTTTGCCATTCTCGGGTGTGGATCTATAAGCGTTTGCTAAAAGATTGTTCTATAAAAGCAGTAGTATAGTTTGTTAGTGCAATCATAGATGTCTCAAATTGCAAAGGCTATTACCAAGACTTGAATAAATCTCATAGTATCTACAGTAACGGAAGACGGCATGTTGTCTGATACGACTTTAACTTCCAATCGAATTCGATCTTTGGAGACCAGATTCTGTGCAGCTGCAAAGATATCTGATAGTATAGATTTGATATCCACCGGAGTCAAACACAAATTTACTTTTCCTGCTTCGAAAGCATTCATTTCCAATGTGTCGTTGGTTAGAGTTAGCAGGTAGTCGGATGATACCCCTATTGCAGTTAACGCAGTGTCTCGTTCAAGCAATGCCGGACCCAGTTTGTGGTGCTCTGACAAAAAGTCGACCGAGTTTACAATCACATGAAGTGGATTTCTCAGCTCATGACTAGAATTGTGTGAGAGTTTGGATGAGCATCCAGTTCTTCATCCTGTCCTTTTTGCTTCATTTCAAAAACACGATCACGCTCACCAAAGAAATCCAATGAAGCGAGACTTCTCCTCCAATGACTCACTAACTTTCTGCTTAGCAGCCATATATTCATCAAGCATCAAACGAAGCTGTCTTGTTCTCTTTTCTACAATGGCTTCGGTTGATTGCAATACGTTCTCAGACTGTGTGGCAAAGTACCATTGCAGTGTTGCCATACACACCAACGATATCAACAGATACTGGAGGTTGACCATTACAAACGTTACGTCGAAATTGAACGTTTGTAAGGCAGGTGTACGTCTCATAGGGGCGGCACACACCACACAATACAGAAAGGCGGCGAGCGACCCGCCAGCCAATCCAAATCTACTTGAGAGGCTCAGTACGAGAGGGATCGTGATATCTGGAGATCAACAGAAATATTAGCATACAGTTTTACGTGGTACCCAAGCAAGTGACTCCTTACATGCTCCAACGAAAGCTCCATAGGGAGTGTTTAAGACCGACAACACGACAACGACACCGACCAAGACCAGACAGTGAAGTAAGAATGGGAGGAGGAACATCGGGCTGCGAACCTTGTTCCAAATACTTGTGACCAATCGGGGCCACTCGACTGTCATGAAACCAAACAGGGCAATCCCCGACAGTTCAGAGCCAATGTAAACGACGAATCGAGTACTGTATAGATCAGAGGGGGCACCTCCATACACGGTATTGAGTATGGCGGAAACAGGGAAGGCTGAAGCGACGGCTCCAATAATGGCAAATATGGTCAGGGTTAAAACATGTCTACCATTCCCAGAATCAAATTGAGCGCTCCTTCGTACGGCCCGAGTTGCGCCCCATATGAATAAGCATTCAGCGGCGTTTACTAGCATGTAATAGACGGAATAGACCACTGGCATGTAGACAATCAATCCTAGAAAGAGCCCAATAGCAAATGCGATAGAGATGGTGGTTTTATACCATACAAGTGGCAAGACGGTTCTGAGAAAGAGCGCACCAATCCATACTCCAGTCGGGGCCCAAAATGGATAGACATTGTCCACTTTGAGAGCTACGGATAATTGCACTGCGGCAAACATACAAATGGCAGCTATTATCCCAGTGACCAGGACATGATAATGGAAGGGCATACTCGGCAGCCTTATGTCGTCAGATGTTCGTTGCCCTGCTGTAGATTTACCCGGTACAGTTGGTTCAGATTCATCGTCCAACACAGATGGCAATCCAATACTTTTTCGAAGCGTTCCCGTCATCCATTTGTACTGTGGCTGGTTTGGTGCATTTCGTGGTTGAGAATGCAAATTACTCTTTTCTAGTGCCTTTGAAGAGTCCTCGTTTAGAGCTCCACGACTCCAGCCTCCAGAAAACATTTATGCCGGCTGCGAGATCAAGATCAAGATGGCGAAGGGGAGGCGATCAGCGTGTCTGCTGCCAGATCTTTCTCAGTTCATAACTATTTTTAATGAGCAGCCGGATCGACCTAGAGACAATGAGACCAAAACTGTGAGTGCAGATTTCTACATCCACAGACAAAAGTGCGAAGCAGTCTTCAACCAAGGTGCATCAGGGTAAGAGAATACTCCGTACCGTGAAATTCGAACCTAGATTCTTGGAAGAATTAACTCCTTGAATGACTTCCTACCGAAAGCACGGGAATGCTCCATCTACAAGAGAAGCAGACTGCGTCAGTTCAGGATCTCAAGAGTTAGTAGCGATCACTCATGTTTAGACCAAAAACGGTCTCTATTATCATACTCTGGAAGAGGTTTCAGTTATTCAAGGTATATCGAAAGTGCTCGTGGAATGTTCAAATGTCCTCGACCAGACTTGTCGGTTCTTTGGACTAAATTTCCTAATAGTTGAGAAGACTGGTCGGTAGTCACGAATCGGCTAGTCACGAATTGGTGATTCTCTAGTATGAGATTCTGAAGTCCCAACACGTTTTCGCATCTCCGTTGTGGTATCTGAGTCGGAAAGTGGTCGAAGCTCGAAATAGGACTAGAGGGCAAAGACCAACGTCAAATGCCACCATTGACATCTCCCGAAGATTCATTGGACGCTGAACATGATGGAAATGCTGGCTGGCTCATTATAAGACTGTTGATCTGGTGAGCTTTGTTGAACATCTGGCTTTCGGAGGCTCAACGTCAAATCTAGCCAAGTGAACACTGGCCTAACTAAAACGTTACCTACTGTAGTCTTCACATCATTCCCGTGCTATTTGGAATCTATCAGCTCTACTTGGCTAGAAACAAGTGAGTTTGAAAGCTACTGCTGTTTGCCAACCACATTGATTACTGATACAGTGCGTCCAGACCTGTAGAGAGCAAAACTCCACTGACGCCAAAGGAATTGCGCTCTGTAAGTCAACGAACGGCAGTGTCATCCTATCTTCCCGTTGTCTGACTTTGCATCATAGGTGAAGGAGTTGAAACGAATGCTTTGACATTCCAACATCCGACAAGGCTTCGACGGCCGTGGTTGGAATTTTTCCTACTCCGAGGACAAGGACTTTGTCGAGAGCCTCGGCTCTGTGATCAGGACCTTATTCGTCGCCATTCACAGGGACAGAATCACATTTCTTTCCCTGTTGAAGTGATGTCTTCTGTATATTCTAAAGGTTGACCCAAAAACAGGATGTCTAATAACACGTGAATATAAAGTACTTGGATGCAGCTGCAGCCAGTGCACGCTTCTTGCGTACAGCGTCCTTTACTTGGCACAATTGTTTTAACAGCACACAAACAATGCGCTTACAGACGGCAAGAGTCACAGTTGTTTGTGTATTGTTGAAATGATGTCTTTATATATTGTACAGGCAAGTCCAAAAACAAGAAGAAGATTAGCACGTGTATAAACTACTTTGACGCAGCAGCGGCCAGGGCACGCTTCTTGCGTGCAAGCTCAACGTTCCTAGTAATATACCTCTGAATATTGTTATTTTGTCCCTTATCACGTACAATCATGGTGAGCTTAGTCAATCTGAATGAGAGGAAGACTTGTGTGAGTGGCAAGCAGTAAAGAAGCATTACTTTCGAAGCCCTGCACTTACGTTTCATTCTTGCGCAGAGCGTCAGCAAAAGCTAGTTCTGCTTCAGCTCCTTGAGGGTTCTTTTGACGTGCTAACTTCAATTCCAATAAAGTAGAGTTAAAGTTGAGCGCATCAGCAAAAGCCTTGATTCCATTTGCTTGGATGGCATTGTCTTCCAAGTTGAGCACCTGTAACCCGGTATTGGTTTTCAGACTCTCTGCAATAGCAAGTCCAGCAGGAGTCTGAACGTTGAGGTTGGGGATGGTGAGTTTCTTAAGATGTGTGTTGTTGGCTAGTGCTAATCCTAATGCTTCAGCTTGTTTGGGCCCAAAGTTCAACTTTTGAGGCTCATCGATTTGAAGCTCAGTTAATGTAGGATCGTTGTTGGCCACTCGGTCAAGTTGAGTCGACAACCATTCCAAGAGAGGATTGGTGATTACTTTTCCAGCCTTTGTAGGGACGTATGATCCTGGAACGTACACTATACATTCGAAACAGACGTCAGCAACCTGTCGTCTCATTAAACCGAGCTTCTAATGGAAAACATACCTGACGAGGCAGCAGCTTGCTCCTTGGAAGACTCGCCCTCGAAGAAGGTCTTTTTAGCAAGTGCAGCTGGAGCTATTTTAGGAGCGGCAGCAGCTACAGGTTCTTCTGCAGGCAATTCTTTCAATGGCATGACAGGGGTTTCTATTCTAGAAAGTTCAGATTTCAAAGAAAACAAGACGGCGAAAGTGCAAGAGGCTTTTACCTGGTGGAGTAGATTCCTGAACAGGAGCTACCGCAACTGCCTCTAGTTTGGTCTCGGCAACAGGCTTGTCGGCCTTAGCATCCTCGACAACCGATTCTTCCACCTTTGGTGATTCTTTAGCAACGACTGATTCTTCAACCTTGGGCGATTAATTGACAACGAGTTGGTCGAGGTTCAGCAAATACTCATAGAAGTAATTGTGTACGTACAGGAGCAGCGACTGATTCGTCCAGTTTGGGTGATTCTGCGACAGATTCTTCCACCTTGGCTTCAGAAGCGACTGATTTAGGAGATTCTACGGCTTTAGATTCTTCAGCCTTGGGAGATTCTTTGGCAACGAGAGGGCTCTCTTCCTCGGCGACCACGTTTGATGAAGTGGACAGTGGTGATGGCGACTTTGCAATTACTTCCTCGGTGGCAGGCTCTTTGACAACCTGTACGGACTCTGGAATGAGAGTTGGACCAGCAGTTTTGCTAAGAGATTCTGGGATGTGGGCGAGCTACGAGAAAGGATTGCGAGATGAGACTTGGTGGCCGCAAACTTGTGAAGGAAGCAACGTACATTATCAGCCATTTTAGACACTGTCAAACTTTATGATACGAATGAGGATTTGTGATCTGCTGTAGAGGCTTTCTTTTCTCTGCAAGTCTCCGAGTGTCGTGAAAAAGATGATTGGATTGAAACGAAAGACAGTGGATGAGAGGCGAGAGCAAACCAAAATTGGACCCGGAAGGCTAGCAGATGGTGATTTCAGCTTGTAAACGTGATCAGAGCTGCAGATCAAGCGCGAAGAAAATTGGTGCCACGTCAGCTTACCCAGAGGGCACAAAACAGCAAGCAATGAGGCGAGATCAGGCATCAATTATAAAAAGAGTGTATCATAATGTGAATATAATATGGGACGTGATCTTGGAGCTTTTAAAGTTTCAGAAATGATGAACCTTGGCGGTTCATCAAGTCGACAACCCAATTTCTCATCCGAGCAGAACCGTTCCAGCAGATTTGATTTCAAGGATCAAGGCAACTACAAATTGATTTTAGACGCGTGAACTTACCGTGTCAATTCCAAACCGCCAAACCGCAAAAGCTCTCGTCAGCTTGGAAACCATCATAACGTCGAGAATATCATCAACAAACAAAAGCTTCTAGTTCGCTCCAAGTAAACTCATCGAGAAGGACAAGGCTCTATTCTAAATAGGAAATAAAGCAGTTAGCAATATGTCCGTCACGGATACACCAGCATGGAAGGCTCTCGCAGCCCACTATGAATCTACAGGCAAATCCCTGTCAATCCCATCTCTCTTCGACAAGGACAGGGCGCGCTTTACCGAGTTCTCCACTACTTGGACTCCCAAATCCTACTCCTCTCCTCTCATCCTCCTCGACTACTCGAAAAACATTGTCACAAAGGACACCATCAAACTCTTGCTCGACCTCGCAAAGCAACAGGATGTAGAGGGCATGAGACACCGCATGTTTAGTGGCGATGCTATAAACATTACTGAAGGGAGAGCCGTCTTGCATGTCGCTCTACGCAATCAGAGCAACACGCCCATACTTGTAGATGGCAAGGACGTCATGCCGGATGTAAACCGTGTATTGGCCCAAATGAAAAGTACGAGTGATGCTATTAGGTCTGGTGAATGGAAGGGGTATACTGGTAAAGCTATTACCGATGTCGTCAATATTGGAATTGGTGGATCGGATCTTGGACCTGTAATGGTTACTGAAGCTTTGAAACCATACGCTCAAAAGGGACTCAAGTAAGCTACTGACTGAACTGAGTGGCTGGCAGTGGAATTGGATTTTCCGCTTGTTGTGTGGTACTGACTCCCATCATTCACCAAACTAGCGTCCACTTTGTCAGCAACATTGATGGAACACATTTGGCCGAGGTCTTGAAACCACTGGATCAAGAAACTACGTTATTCATCGTCGCCAGTAAGACATTCACCACCATTGAAACCATCACCAATGCTACAACTGCCAAGGATTGGTTCTTGTCGAAAGGTTCTAATGTAAGATTTTGGCTGCTTCTCATTTCCTTTTTTCGCTCCGTAGCGTCCGCGAATCACCACCGACGCCCCACTCACGCAAATATCATCACTTGAACAGCCCGACCACGTCGCAAAACACTTTGTCGCACTCTCCACAAACGCAAAAGCAGTATCAGCATTCGGTATATCAGTTTCAAACATGTTTGAATTCTGGGACTGGGTTGGCGGTCGTTACTCTCTATGGTCTGCCATTGGTCTATCCATTGCTATTTACATTGGATTTGACAACTTCCAGGAATTGTTGAAGGGTGGTCATGCAATGGATCAACACTTTGTTGAAACACCAATGGAAGAAAATATTCCAGTATTGCTTGCTGTATTAGGAGTATGGTATAACAACTTTTATGGATGTCAGACACATGCTATATTGCCTTATGATCAATATTTGCATCGGTTCCCTGCGTACTTCCAACAGGCAAATATTAATTGTATTCATTGCTTTTATGCAATTAACGAATCATGAATTTCAATGTAGGGTGATATGGAATCAAACGGCAAATCAACAACCCGCTCATCCCAATCAATCACCACATACTCAACTGGACCCATCATCTGGGGCGAACCAGGCACGAACGGTCAACACGCCTTCTACCAACTAATCCACCAAGGCACCAAAAGAGTCCCTGCAGATTTCCTCGCTCCTATATTTACCCAAAACCCAATCTCACATGGTCTCCATCATAAAATCCTGCTATCAAACTTTTTTGCACAGACTGAAGCTCTCATGCGTGGTAAATCTCGAGACGAAGTAGAGAAGGAATTGGTGAAAGAGGGTATGGTTGATGTTGCATCAAGAGAGAAACTGGTACCTCATAAAATGTTTAGTGGTAATCGACCTACGAATTCTATCTTGTATCAAAAGTTGACTCCGTTTGCTCTTGGTGCACTGATTGCCATGTATGAGCACAAGATCTTTGTGCAAGGGGTTATTTGGAATATCAATTCGTTTGATCAGGTAAGGGCATGTTGTGACAGTTTGGGCTTCGAGCAAGTACCTTTGAAATTTCTTCATTTTTTTGCCATTGATGTTGCTCTATCATACTATCGTTACTGACTTTTTAATAAAATCCTTCGCAATAGTGGGGTGTAGAACTTGGAAAACAACTCGCAAAAGCTATCTTACCTGAATTGGATGGTGACTCTGATGTCCTATCTCATGATTCAAGTACCAATGGCCTCATCAACTGGTATAAGCGAGCTCGAAAGCTATAGAGAAGTGCTATGATCAGATCTTCTTTATGGGCATTTTTTTGGCTGCAAGAGAGGGTTGAAATAGGTGGTGTAGCTAAATAGTGGTATACTCTTATCACAAAAGACAAAGGTTCATTGCTATTACTATATCATTTATATGTTACTGAGCGTTGTTTCGATTCAAGTGGGAGTTTAAGGACTCACCAGCTGGTACAAGCGAGGCGAATTTCAAAGGTGGCATCCATTGATACGATGTTTTTGCTGCTGGTGTTGCGTAGCAATCAACCTAGGTGCTGACGAGAAGTAGCATTACACATTCATCGTACACAAAAGACTTCATTTCACTGTTACTATATGATTTTGTGTTATTACTCGTTTTATACGATACAGGAGGGGAAATGCAAAAGATATAGAGATTTCTAGCTATACAGTTGTGTACTCATCGAAAGCGACCTCTTCGTTCCTTCATATCACCTTACTCCTCATAACTCCCAACTGGCCTCTTCGTCGCCAACCTCTCCTCCCTCCCCTTCCTCAACACATCCACAACACCACCAACCACAAACACTGACGGACTACCAATCTTGGACTCAGTGGCAACACCCAATATATCAGCCAGCGTGCCATCAACAACCCTCTGATCGTCCCACCCAGCCTTTTCAATGACAGCAGCAGGCGTAGACATGGGATACCCCTTCTCCTCCATAATACCAATCATTTCCCCCATCTTTGCAACAGCCATCAAAAACACTGTTGTTCTCTTGGCTTCATATAACGGTATGTTGGGGATACTGCCGCCCTCGCCACGCGCAGTTAACACGAGTAGCTGATCAGCGACTCCACGATGCGTGACTGGGATTCCAGCGACACCGGGTCCAGCAATACAAGATGATATGCCTGGTATGTATTCGACTTTATATCCATAGGATTCGAGCCATAGCGTTTCTTCACCGCCACGACCGAATAGGAATGGATCGCCTCCCTTCAAGCGCACGACGAATTTGTTGTCGCGTGCTGCAGCGAGGAGCCAGTCGTTTGCATCGTTCTGTGCGAGATCGGATTTACCTCGTGCTTTGCGGGGCACTGTGCGGAGCTCGACGTGTGAGGGGATCAAGTCTAGTATACCGGCGGGGACGAGTTGGTCTGAGATTACGAGGTCGGCGGTTTGGAGTGCTGTTACTGATTTAACTGTTAGGAGAGTCGGGTCACCCAGTCCGGAGCCGACGAGTACTATACGGGGCGTGGTGCGACGGTGGTATGCTATTCGTGGGATTATAGATGTGGGCAGGTATGTGAGTGGGTTTATAACGTTGACTTTTGGCATGTGTGAGGATATGGCGGATGTATAGGTGGAAGTGATGTCTGTGACTGGTGCTATAAAGGTTGCGTAAAGGGCTTCTGTATATGTAGATACATAGTCGGATACATTATGTATGCTTCCCGTGACGGTTGCAAACGTTATTGCGATACCCGATAAGAGATCTGTGAATGGTGTTGAGACTGATTGTACTACTTGTCCTGTAGTTTTAGCACCTGGTACTGTACCTGCTGCTGCTACAGATGCTGATGCCTTTGCAAATGATTTGGCAGCAGCCTCATCTTCATATTTAGCAACCACACGTTCAATATCCACTTCACTCATCTTGCCCAACTCTTCAAACGACAGTGCATCACACAGTCGTGACATCCACTTCATACGGTATTCTATAGATTCCAGTTCGGATGGAAGACCATGAGGAGTTTCGAGTCCTCGTACCCGAGATCGTAGTTTACCTACTGTTGCGACAGCACTTCCCATATCGGCTGGCAATGCCTTTTCGATTAGTTTGCGTATGCGGACACCGAGACGTGGACCACATCCATTTGTCGATACACCAATCTGTGTTATTAGATGTTGTTAGTTTGTGGTGTTTGATTGCAATCACCTTATCTTTCAACGCAACTCACCTGTAGAGGCCCCTGCCGTATCTGGCTCATAAACCAGAAATCACACGCCTCTGGCACATCAGCACAGTTAACAGGTATCTTCCTCTTCCTGCAATGCACCGCAATCTCTTTACTGATCTCGATTTCATCAATACATCCAAACACGACATCCCATGCGGGCGACACATCCAATATAGACTCTGAATACTCGGCGTCAATCCAGGTTACTTGGTTTGTGTCTATACGATACTTTTTCACGTCGGGAGAGAGGCCGTTTGCTGGACAGAGGACTGTTACGATAGCGTCAGCATCGAGAGCTAGGAAGGTACGTCCAGTAGCTTCTTTGCCGCCTCCGATGATCAGGACCCGTTTGTTCAGGAGTCTGTAGGCTACCATGAGAGAGGCACCGCCTTCGGGGGTTTTGGATGCTCTGTCTGCCATGTCTTATATGTTTGGGTTAAGTTTGAAAAGAAACGAACGACGGAAGGCAAAGACAGATTAGAAAGCACATGGCATTTGGATATGTATTGGAAGGTCAGATCACGTAACATAGAGTGCAAAGAGAGCATTGCGCTTAGCTTCTCTCATGAACGACGTGTGTAGAGCAATCAACCTGCACAAATCTTGAACGGTGAAATTTTGTTTGTTGGTGTAGATGATGGGATCGTGATCTTCCATGAATGTGTTTCATGAGTTTGTACGTGAATTTACTGTCTGAGCACCGTGGTCTCATCCAAAATGCTCGGCTTGATATTCGATTTTGACGTTTCCGAAGCAACCGAAACGCAAAACGACAATGTACGTCTATGAAACACTATAAACGTGCTATTTTGACAATCGACTATGCTTTTACCGTACTGGACTGTATCATCTCATTATAAGAACTGGTCAAAGGGCACCAAAAGAACCAAAAGTTTAAGGAAAGCAACAGACGTGTTTATTTCCAGAATACAAGATGAGAAACGCGTAGTTCTACGTGGATATGAATACAATACACTAAAATAAAGCCTTTTGGGGCGTCTAGCTACAGGTTCAAACCTTACTAATAGCTCTTGGCCAGACTCCAAAAATCACCAAAAATTCCAAACACCAACACACAACTTCACCCATAATGGAAGCCTTCGTCCATAGCCTCGACTCGACAACAATGGCCCTCGTGACCGCGCAAGCTCTGCTAACGTTTGCCTGCACTATAATCTTTTCTGTATACATCTTCACACCCATACCACGTCCTCCAGTGCCAGAGGAATCAACCTACACACACCCAATCTCAAACACAAAACAACTGCATCCCTCCCTATTCGACGACTCGAACGGTGATATACACGTATCGCTTGTCGTTCCAGCATATAACGAAAAGGATCGCATTGGAATCATGTTGGATGAAGCACTTACCTATTTCAAGGGTCGTGTGAAAAAGGACAGGGAATTCAAGTACGAGATTGTGGTTGTAGATGATGGATCTAACGATGATACAACAGCAGTGTGTAATGAGTGGGCAAAGACAAACAAATGTGGAGAGTTGAGGGTTTTGACGTTTGTAAAAAATCGGGGGAAGGGTGGCGCTGTTACCCAGGTAAGTAATACAATAAAATTGATATATTAAGTGTTATATTGATATTTGGTCGCTTAGGGAATGCTGACAGCCCGTGGCGAATGGATTTTATTCGCAGATGCAGATGGAGCAGCTAAATTCGCTGATTTGGATAAACTAGAGGCTGCTACGGAAGCTATATTGAAGGACGGGCTTGGTGTGGGCGTCGGGTCGCGTGCTCATATGGTTAATGCTGAAGCGGTTGTCAAAGTAAGCAACGAGCTAGGTTAAAAATCACCTCCGTACAGCTCCTGGTTTTCTGACTTCGTTTGCACCCGCCTTCCCCAACACAGAGATCAGCAATCCGCAACTTTCTCATGTACTCCTTCCACACCGTCCTCTTCATCCTCGGCATCTCATCCATAAAAGACACACAGTGTGGATTTAAACTATTCTCGCGCAACGCAGCCCAAATAGTCATTCCTAACATGCACGTCGAGGGCTTCATATTTGATATCGAGATGCTGCTGCTAGCTGAATGGAATGGTATACCGATGGTGGAGGTTCCTATATCGTGGCATGAAGTGGCGGGGACGAAAATGAACCTCGTGTGGGATTCCGCGAGGATGGCGAGGGATTTGTTGCTGATAAGGGCGAATTACTTGTTTGGGTTGTGGAGTGTAGGGAGGTTTGTGCATGAGAAGAGTAAGGGTGAGAGTAAGCAGGCTGGGTCTGCTGATAGGAAGAAGAAGTGAGTTGGAGTTTTTTAGGAGTACAGTTATATACAGCATAAACATATATGTATAGCAGGAAGGTATAACTTTACAGATATAGAGAGAAAGGTTGTGGCACCTTGTAAAGCAGCCAAAGTTAATTTCTTTGGCTTATTTCAAAGCAAGAACAACCAAATCGCACGATGATACAACAGTGGCATACACACATCAGATGTTATGAGTTAAGAGTTTAAACTTTATATCAGAGTATATACATTCAATTTTGTACTTCCAAACTATAGGTATATTCTATCTATTGCACAAGGTTCTTTTGTGCTAAAGCACGCTTCTGAGCAAGCTGTGCATTACGTCGTTGCTGGAAGTAGTCTTTATGAAGTCCACATTCAGTCTTCTCCTGACCCTTCCACCTTCCAGCCCTCTCATCTTCACCCTCCTTGACAGGTTCCGTCGAGTGATAATCTCCCACCGACTTGTACCCCTGATCATGCAGCACATTGTATGGTACATTATTCTCCTGAATATATTCCCAAACAGTTTTATAATCCCAGAGCGCCAATGGATTGAGTTTGATTATAGGTGGTGATTGGGTATGGTCGACTTCTATTATTGGGATTTCACCACGTTCGCCCTTTTGTGAGCGTCTGCGGCCGGTGATTACGGATCTGACGTTGAGGGTATCGTATGCTCTACGAGCTGGTTCGACCTTGACGAGGTAGTCGTAGAGTTCTGCGTCTGTAGACCAGAGAGAAGCACCGTATTTGGCAGTGAATTCGTCACGGGTGGATACACCGGCTGGCTTTATGATGTGGATGAGAGCATTGTAGCGGGATGTGGAGCGTTGAGTTAGGGAGATTGTTTCATCAAACTATAGTCAGATGAGAATTTTGTTAGGTGATGTTTCTTGCTGACAAAGCACAACTATTGCACCATCTTGACCACGTCACCGACAACTTACATGATGAAGCGTATCAATAAAGATAAGAGGAATGCGTCCCTCTTCACCAAATGGTTCGGATACTTTTGCGACCATATCCATGATGACACAACCGGTGAGACCAAATGCGGTGGTTTGATACAAGTTTGGGAGCGATACGATGGCCCATTCCAGGATCTTTTGCGGGGATAGCTTTGATAGGCGATTGTTTAGGTATTCGAGATATTCGGGAGTCAGAGTTGCGACGAGATCCATGGTAGTTGTAGTGTTGTTTGATGATGTGTCTAGCACGGGCATCTGGTTATAGGTATTGTTGTGGTTGTTGGTGTTGACTGAAGGATCGTATAAGTGCAAGATGAGGCTTTTTATAGTTCTCTTGCTGAGGAATGCTCTACTCTATTTGATTCTACGTGATTTGAATGTTGGAAAGTTGATTTGAAAAGCAATTGCGTAGGATGGTGCGATTTTGATTTTCTCAGAGCAAAAACCTTTCCTGGCTTTGCAGCGAGAAAATCGTCCTCGCAACAATTGAATCGCAGATTTGAGCCTTATAACGGGCCTAGCTCATAGTTGCTCGCTCTATTCTTTCACGACTTGTAGCTCAAAGCTTGTTTCGTCAATTTTCGCAACTTCCAACAGTTCAAAATCGTCGATAATTGATAAAACCTAACAGCGTATACATTTTCGTGGGGTTTAACGTGTACTTTATTGATGCAACGTCTCGCATTACACTTCCACATTCAGAAGTTTCGCTCAGATCTCTTTTTTCATGGTAAACTGTTTTGCCACCACCAAACACGTTTTTCGAGACCAGTCCCTTAAGAGATCGCTTAGAAGTCTCGTCGCGTTCATGTATTCTACGAGGACGTACTCGAAATTGACTACCAATAAATGCGGTCTCCTGTAGCTTGCAGGTGTGTTTTTCGACCTCCATGTTACCAACAGGAGAATGACGACGTCGTTTTGGTCCTGTTCTTGGCAGTTCCAGTAGCCCACAGGCTGCAAATACGCGTCAATTTTACAAATATTCTGCCTGCGACCGTGTATCTACTAGAAAAAATCTCCCGCTGATGACAATTGCCGTTGAAGGAATTGTGTGATTTTTTTTGCAGCTGACTCTTTTCTGTTCCAAGCTCCACAGTAATAGAGAGACAAGGGAACTGAAGAGAAGCGTAATCGTAGAACTCGTTTGGACAGTTTCGCCTGCTTGCTACAGTCTCATCTGGCCAGAGGCAACGAAAAGTAAGCTTGAGTGACATTGAATCTTGGATGCCTTCAGACACTCAAACCGCCCATTAAAGATCACTAAACTAACTCAACTTTCTTCTTTTCAGATCATGCAGTCCTTCGATACCGAGACGGCTATTGGCTATATAGGCTACAGCTTGAGCAAACTCAACATTGTCGCAGACAGCAATTCAAGTTTGGTCGACTTGTTGAAACAATGGGCCACACGCAAAGATGCCAATGCTGCAAAACAACCAGGTCGTGTACTAGTCACCTCTGTATTCGATTTGGCTGCTACTCTACAACAAGCATTGGTATTGTCACCAACACCAAGTAGTAGCGACCTGCCAGCTGCAACATATACCTCGTCTGAATCGCTCACAAGCATCATTCCAATACTGTACAAGCTGGTAGCTGATGCCCAGCCACATGTATTGCATGCTTCTATATCAAAGGGTGATGCATCAGGTGTATTTGCTATAAGACAAACTGGATGGATGATGGTTGCTTCTGCTGGACAACAGGAGGCCCTAGATGTATCTGTATTGGCTCATGCTATTGCTACAAAGGCGTCATTACCGGTCCTTCATTTCTATGATGGAAAGTTGGGAAACAAGCAGATTCCAGTCTCGCCAATAAGTTTTGAAAAGCTTGTTGGGTTGACCAACGATATCAGTAGTAGTGCATCAGCTGCTGTAAGTAGCAGCAGCGCTAGTAGTACAGATGATAGCAACGCTACTGGATCAGCAGCCGCTGTCAAAGCAACAGCAGATACCAACTTGTATTTACGACCATCACCATCAGCCACCATAGATCAAGCCAGTCTCCTAAAAACCATCGAAACCACTATAAAGGAACTTAATGGCAGTGTCTTTGCTCCTCGATCTTATTCCCTGTTTGAATACACAGGTCCATCAGATGCAACAACCGTCCTAGTGTATTTAGGAACTGCATCGCAGGATATCGAATCAGCAATCACAACCACTCCTAAAACAGGTGCTATACGTGTACGTTGGTACCGACCATGGTCTACAACCCACTTTTTAAACGCACTTCCATCCACCGTTACCCATATCGCCGTCATTGAACCAACACACGGTCTGCATACTGGTTGGGGACCATTATTTTTAGATGTAGCTAGCTCCTTCCAAAGTGAAGAAGGCCATGCTCGTGTCCCTCAACCCATTGTCCGTGAAGCACGAGTATCAGGCACCATACAATATACCCCAAACGTCATCAAATCCCTAGCTAGTGAAGTCACATCTGGAAACCTCGGTCCATTCACATTACAAAGCCACGAGCATGTAAATGGTCTTGTAAATGGCATTCATCAGGAAGAAGTCGATACGAAGTTGGAAGGTGAAGGTCCATATATCAAGATGCTACACTCTATATTTAATAATCGTCTCGTAATGACTAATGTGACTGGTGCCAAGGATGTCGGTGTCAAGAATGCTGAATTCGGATTTGGTAGTCAGCTTGTCATGATTCAGCAACGTCATCAGCTAGTCCAGCTCGTCACCAACTTGATTCAGCAAGGAAGCACCAGCCCAGCATTAAAGACTGTCTTGTCTAAATGGTTGGAAACTCGTGATGATGCAGCCAAAAGTCGAGAGGCTGGTGATGCAGTCATTGCATTACTAGACAAAAATAGCGAAGTGTATAAATTACATCACTTGTTTGCCAAGCCATCTTATTGGTTGGTAGGCGGTGATTCTCTTGCTGTCGATATAGGAAACAGTGGAGTGCATCATGTTATTGCTTCGAAGGAGAAAATCAATATGTTGGTGGTAGATACCCAACCATACAGTGACAAGAAGAGTGAAATGCAACTCGACTTGCGTAAAAAAGATATAGGATTATATGCCATGAATTATGGAGGTGTATTTGTGGCTTCTGTCGCTGTACACTCGTCCTATGCTCAAACGCTGCGAGCCTTCCAAGAAGCTGATGCATACCCAGGTCCATCTATAATCGTAGCGTACTCACCTCGAGTCACATCTATATTGACCACCACTCCACCGTCTGCTATGAGTGCGCCACTCAAAGTCATCAAGGAAACCAAACTGGCTGTAGATTCAGGATACTGGCCACTCTATAGATGGAATCCAGTCAACCAAGAAAATCCGTTTAGTCTAGATTCCGATAAAGTAAAGGCCGAATTAAAATCATTCTTGGAACGAGAAAACCATTTCGCAATGGTTTTGAAATCTCATCCAGAAATTGGTGGCTTGTATACTGGATCTGCTGAATCGGAATTCAAGACAATGGCTGAACGTAAAGTTGCTGACTCGTATGCTCAGCTACTCAACGGCCTGAATCTCAAACCATTATTAATCTTGTTTGGATCTGATGGTGGTAATGCTGAACGCCTCGCTAAACGTATAAATGCTGAAGCCAAACAACGTGGATTACGTCCTCGTATGATGCCAATGGATAGCATGAGTCTTGAAGACTTGCCGGCCCACCCGAATGTCTTGTTTGTGGTATCTACTGCTGGTCAAGGAGAATTCCCTGGTAACGCCCGTGAATTCTGGAAGTCCTTGTCATCACCACCTGCCGAAATAGATTTCAAGGCCATCAGTTATGCAGTCATGGCATTAGGTGATTCTCATTATTGGCCACTACCAGAAGACGCACACTACTTTGCCAAGTCTGGTAAAGATCTAGATAACAAACTAGCAACCTTGGGATTCACTCCATTTGCAAAGATTGGAATCTCGGATGATCAAGATCCAGATGGTCTCATGACTGGATATAATGCATTCGCACCATCATTATGGGAATACTTAGGTGTAGGTGAAATGGAAGTAAATGTAGAATCTGTCGTGATACATCCTGAAGTCGTCAAAGAAGCATCCAACTTCTTACGTGGTACCCTCGCAGAGGGACTATTAGACACCACCACAGGAGCACTATCCGAAAACGATACAGTCCTAACCAAATTCCACGGTATATATCAACAAGACGATCGTGACATCCGTGATGAACGCGCTCGCCAAGGATTGGAGAAGGCATTCTCATTCATGGTGCGAGTACGGGTTCCTGGTGGTATTGCTACACCGCAACAATGGATTGCATTGAATAATGTAGGGGATCAACATGCCAATGGTACTGTCAGGATTACGACGAGACAGGCTATTCAGTTTCATGGTATTATAAAGAGAAATTTGAAGCAGAGTATCAAGGATATTAATCAGGCTCTGATGGGTGAGTGTCAGTTTGATGTAGTGTTTCTGTTTTTGGTGGGACGCGGTTGCGCGAGAATGAGTTCAGACGGATGACATGCTTGGTCCAGATCTAGTCCTTTTTTGGCCTTCTGAAAACTATTGAACATCGCGTTTTGTTCCAAAAAAATCATTATATTTACGTGATTACTTACAAATTCTATTTTAATTCCTTTCTAGATACCGTTGCAGCATGTGGTGATGTAAACCGTAACGTTATGTGTAATCCAAACCCCTTCTTATCCGAAGTCCACAAGGAAGTCTTTGAAATCTGTAAAGAATTCAGTGACCATCTGACTCCTCGTACCAGCGCCTACCACGAAATCTGGCTAGACAAGAAGATGGTAGCAGGTAGCGCGGACGAAGAACCCATATACGGCAAACTATACCTCCCACGTAAATTCAAGACTGCCGTCGCCATACCACCCAGCAACGATGTAGATGTATTTGCACACGATTTAGGATATATCGCTATAGTCGAAGATGGTAAATTAGTAGGATTCAATGTATCAGTTGGTGGTGGAATGGGTATGACGCATGGAGCCAAGAAGACCTTCCCAAGGTTGGGAGAAGTCATGGGCTTTGTGACTGTAGATCAGGTTATAGCCGTTGGTGTTGAAACCGTGACTGTACAACGAGATTATGGAGACCGAGTCAACCGTAAACATGCAAGATTAAAGTATACGATTGAAGATCGTGGCCTTGACTGGTTTAGATCCCAAGTCGAGGAACGTCTCGGATGGAAACTACAGCCTGCTCGACCATACAAATTCACCTCGAACGGTGATCGATATGGCTGGAACCAAGGTCTAAATCGTACATGGCACTACACCTTCTTTGTCAGCAACGGGCGTATCAAAGACACACCCGACTATCTCCTCAAAACTGCACTCATGGAAATAGCTCAAATCCATAAAGGAGACTTCCGTCTAACACCCAACCAAAACCTCATGATTGCAAACATCCCTGAAGCCGAACGACCAGCTATTGAAGCCCTCTTGCATAAATACAAGATTGGTAATGAGACGTTAAGTGGTCTTCGACTCAACTCGATGGCTTGTGTCGCGCTACCGACTTGTGGATTGGCCATGGCTGAAAGTGAACGATACTTGCCTGATTTGGTTACGCTTTTGGAGGAATCGTTGAATAAAGTCGGGTTGAGACATGATGAGATTACTATTCGGATGACAGGATGTCCTAATGGATGTGCTAGACCTCAGATTGCAGAGATTGGGTTTATTGGAAAAGGTATGCAATACATGAATCGAATTGGCCTGACAGGGGTTTTTTTGTGCTTGCGTTTTAACCAAACGTAACACTTTCGCATAGCACCTGGCACATACAACATGTACTTGGGAGGTGGTTTCACCGGCGAGCGTCTATCTCGCTTGTACAAGGAAAACGTGGATGAAGAAAACATTGTCAAGGAACTCGCACCCATGTTCAAGAGATATTCACTTGAACGAAATCCTAATGAGCATTTTGGAGATTTCTGTATTCGAGTTGGAATTATTAAGGCTATGTTGCATGTACGTATTCAACGCTTGAATAGCAGGGGGTTGTTTTTGCTGGGGCTTGATGCTCATGCATTTGTTTTGATAGGGTCGTGAATACAACCTTCAAGATTAGATCAGAAAGGAGGGAGTGATATGAAAAAAAAGAATTGCACAATCATATAAAGTAGTTCCATAGCTTACAGTCAATTTCAAAACATCAATAAAAGCGTGAGTGCTGACAAAAAATCGACTCTCGGAACCGTCTGTCAGGCGTGATTGTGCTCAAAGCTATGCGTGTATATAGAGTACAGACGCGTGAAATGTGTTGTTTGTTGTTCTTTTATTGTTTGCGTCCACCAGTCTAAATTCGAGTTCAAAGAGGAGAAAACAGGGACGATGGAAGACTCTCGCCAGGTCAGGTAGACATCAGATCTGATTTCGCAAGTGATGACTGGATTTTGAAGCCAGCAATCAAAGTAAGAAAAGCCTTGCGCTCTCGGTGATATTTGCGGAATTGGAGAAGTTGGATCCGTGAATTGTAAGGCTGACACGTAGTTATCACATTATTCATATTTGGAATTGGGTGATAATAGCTTAGATGCAGGCTCTATTACGACGAAAGGGTTCTGGGTCAGAAGGATTAAACTCATGGAAACTAGACTAGACAAAACGTTTATGGCATGCTGCTAGTATGCAAGAAACTTTCGTGCATTGATGTGCAGATCTGCTAGTAGCGACGCGTATTATGATTCCAGACGCGTCAGACCCACATCAGTCGCCCACATCAGGCCTCAGCTTCAGTGCATGTCAAGCCGTTAACATTTGAAAATTCACGGTTTCCGTCTTTCCACGAAAACATGACAGCAGTAATGAAGATCAAAGCTCTGGACAAGTCAGCTGTCCATCGGATCTGTTCTGGTCAAGTGATTTTGGATCTGGCGACTGCAATCAAAGTAAGAGCTGCTTGGTTTGAATGTTTGGACTGCGGATTGCTGCAACATTTGATCATTCTGAATTGCGAGTCTTGATACATGTTATTTATTATTAGGAATTGGTGGAAAATAGTCTGGATGCAGGCTCTACTACCATTGAAATCAGACTAAAGGACTCGGGAGTCGAGGGATTTGAAGTAATTGGTGTGTTTGCAGCTACTGTTGTTGGAGCACGATCCGATCAAGATCTAATGTTCTTATTTTGTTATTTGAATTAGACAATGGACATGGTATAGATCCGGAAAATCATGATTCTGTCGGTATGCCGAAAAACCCTCCATGAAAACAGAAGTATGAACACATGGACCACGTCTAACTCCAACCTCTCCTCATCAACAACAGCGTTGAAACATTATACATCAAAAATCAATGATTTCGATGACGTATCTCAATTGGGAACTTACGGGTTTCGTGGAGAAGCTCTGAGCTCGTTATGTTCAATCGCCACAGTCACGATTACAACGGCAACTCGCGAGATGGCTCCTGCTGCGGTAAAACTGGAACTGGATTCTCATGGTGCTGTCAAGAAGCGAGAAAGAATGCCTCGTGAAAAAGGTAATTGCGAGAAGTACGGTGCCTTTTTTTGCGTTCATTCAGTCGTTTTCAGGGTTGAATTGAGTATTATCGTAAACATTAGGAACATCCGTATATGTATCCCACCTTTTCGAATCTCTACCAGTCAGATATCGAGAATTCAAAAAGAACATCAAACGAGAGTACTCCAAATGTTTGGATGTTTTATATGGATATGCTGTGATATCAACTGGAGTCAGATTGTCTTGTTGGAATGGAACTGGAAAGGGGTATGCAGATCATCCATTACGTATTCAGGCCGCGTTTTGTATCTCACATGTTGGTATAGAGACAAGACAATGGTTTTCGCAACAAGTGGGAATACCGATATGAAGACTAATATCTCGTCCATTTACGGAAGCAAGATATTGCCTTCTTTGATGTCATTTCAGTTTGATATTGATCATCCTGATACTGAGAGTGAGATGTACGTTTCAGCGCCATTTCCATGGTTCCTTTTGTCCAGCATCCATACTGTCGGAACTCACATGTAGTCTCTACTGTTACTTATAGACCAATTCATGTACAAGGATACATGTCAAAACCTTCCTTTGGATGTGGTCGAAATACTTCTGATCGACAATTCTTCTTCGTGAATAAGAGACCCTTTGATTCCGTCAAGGTCGGTATCCTCAAATTTTTTAAGGCTTTTTTGCTGAAGCGCAAATTTTCTCGCTTTCTTAATCTCATGACAATTCTGCTTAGTTCACGAAAGCATTGAATGAGGTGTACAGATCATACAACAGTAACCAGCTACCCATTGTGTTTGTTAATGTGACGTTGAGTCCGGGTAAGGCTGGACAGCTTATCCCGCCGCTTGTGCTGTATTTTTCTCACGTTCGACCTTGGTTGACGCAGATACGTATGATGTCAATCTGACTCCTGATAAACGTACCATATTATTTCATCATGAGGATGCCATACTTGAATTATTCAAGGTAAGCTCAACGTTTACGAGCATGAACTTAGTTCCACAGACATATACATTAACATAAAGTTTTTTTCGTGTGTGCTGTATTAGACTAAACTTTCGTCGATAATGGAACCTCTGAGAGGCAGCCTACTCATTCAGCCCAAATTGTCAATTGCAAGTATATCGCCCAAGGAAGTCTCTGATGAGGGCGGTAAACGAAAGCGAGACGACGATGAAGAAGCGGAAGAGCAACAGCAAGAGGAGGATGAGGAAGATATTAACGAGGAAGAAGAAACGACATCTTCACAAGATACTACTGCAGGCCTTGATGATGATGAGCAAGAAGTCGATGATGCTCTACAACAATCATATAGTAATGGTGAGGATATGGTTATTGAAATTGGTGACGACGACGATGATGAGGGGGCTACCATTCCCTCCGCATCTAGCAAAACCTCGATACCTATACCACCTATTACACCCTCAAGCAGTATGAAACTCTCTCAAATCACCAAGGCCTCTTCTAGTAGTCGTAGCAAGAAGAGCTCACCAGTAAAACGAGGGATGATGCCAACTCTCCGAAAACCACCACCGTCAATCATACCTTCTAGTAAAACCATCAATGCAGTCAAAAAGTCGATCCTGTCGACGCCATCATCCTTATCAAGAATAGAAAGTGTGAAGAAAACTAGTATTAGTGTCGTGACACCTGTGACGCAACCAAGGACTGATGCAGATGGCACTAGCATTCAACAAGATGCAGCCATCTTGGAATCATTATATGAGGATGTCACAATCTCGTATACACCAACTGGTATACGAGATCGAATATCATCCAATATGAGTCGTTTCTATCGTGAAAAGATATTACGTCAACCACCAGCATCGACATCGTCTAAAGTATCAGAGTCTCAACTTCCGCTGAAAAAGTTTGAGACGGGTATATCTGCTGAGGAGAAGGAGCAGGCCGAAGATGAATTCAACAAGTTTATAACCAAGGATGATTTCAAAAAGATGGAAATTTTGGGACAGTTTAATTTGGGATTTATCATTGCTAGATTGGAGGATGATTTGTTTATTATTGGTGAGTTTACCGACATCTAACTGAGTAAGAAGAAGACGCTAAACATTGGCATCTGGACTGATGCTGTCATATGATTTTTTACCCCATTTATTTCTGTCTGTTGACATCTGTTGGCAAATCGTTTTAACACAACAAATGACTTGTTAGATCAACATGCTACCGATGAGAAGTTCAATTATGAGGATTTGAAACGTAATCTGAGACTTGAAGGACAAAAACTCTTCTTGTGCGTTTTGTCTCTGCAGAAGTCGACCATACAATCGGAAGAAAAGTCTGACTAAACATCTTCTTATAGGCCTCAATCTTTATCATTCACTGTGCAACAAGAACTGATTGTCATGGATAATCTTGATCTCTTCAAGTATGTTCACGTTGGTGAAGTCTGACTGGCCCTCGTCGTGCGGCATTCTAATCGTGATGCATCTTTTTTCTGTACAGACGCAACGGGTTTGATATTGAAGTGGATGAGGCGGCTCCATCTATGCACCGTTTGAAACTGGTGTCATGTCCATTTGCTAAGAATGTATTGTTGGGAGCATCTGGTAAGATAGTTGATTGTGGGCATGCATCGATTAGCCATTCATGAATCATTTTTTTTGTTTTCAATAGATGTTGAAGAACTTGTGCACAAACTGTGTGAATCCGGTGCTGGACACGATGCTATTCGTCCGTCTCGTATAGATTCTTTGATTGCGTCAAAAGCATGTCGCAAATCAGTGATGATTGGAATGGCGTTGGAGAGGAGTCGAATGATCAAGGTATGTGATGTTGTATTAAATGTTGAATTGGGAGAAGACTTGCTGATCATTGGATACAGATTGTGGCACATATGGGAGACATGGATCAACCTTGGGTGTGTATGCCGACACATTTTGCACGCCTTTTTTGCGCAGGCATTCCAACAACACCATTCATACCTTTTATAGAATTGCCCTCATGGACGTCCTACTATGAGACATCTGGCAGTGTTGCTACCTTTGTGACTACATGTGTGTGATATATATAACGTGTTTCTGTATAGCTGTCCCCCTAATTTATCAAATCATACAATTGCATCCTAAAATAAGACGCGTAACAGTCGTACTAAGACATTCCTCCTTCTAACCTTGTCACGTTGTTCACGTTCTTCTCTGACAACAACACGAACGAGTGCACCCTCCAAACAATTCACACGACATTTCAGTCACGAGGAAAGCGCCCACATCGCAACACACCTTGATAAGAAGGAGAGCAAATAATCATCCTGATAAACAGACTCTGGCACTCGCAACACCATAACTATTGTCTTCCTCACTGCACAAACCTTATCAGTTGTTTGTGAAGGACATCCAACTTTTGGATTTCTCTTGAAACATTAAATCCGCAGAATCAGCAAGAAGACTAGATCATCATCAGTGAGTATTTATCCCTTATATTATTCACGCTTGCCTCTCACCGCGGTCAAACCTTTCGGGATACCTAATGCACATATCATTAACCCCCTTTTTGTTGAAATTCAGTGTCGTCTCCCCGCCGTCGAATAGAGACTGATGTCATGAAACTGTATGTTTGGCTTGCTAAGAAAGAGAACGTTAAAGATCTTACTGAAAGAATATTCGCGTATTTGAGATACTCACCTCACACACACATTAGACTAATGAGTGACTATGAAGTGACTTTGGTGAATGACAATATGCAAGGTAAAGGAGAGAATCACTTATATTTCTATCATTCCGTAATAAGTGTCTCACTCTTTTTTCGCATACAGAATTCTATGTCCGATTCCATGGCCCAAAAGACAGTATGACATTGTGATCAGAAACTCAAACTGGACCGACACTTACATATTTGCCGTCTTTGATACCTTTGCAGCACCATTTGCTACTGGAATATGGAAGGTGCATGTTGAATTGCCTGATCAGTATCCATACAAGTCACCCTCTATTGGTTTTATGAACAAGATCTTTCATCCCAACATTGATGAATTGTAAGTCCCGCTTCCCCGTTGCTCACACCTTTCACAGTACTTACTGTCATTTGATACATAGATCAGGATCTGTTTGCTTGGATGTCATCAATCAGACGTGGAGTCCAATGTTTGGTATGCAAAAGAGACCATGATAATCTGACGTATGTTAACTTACACACACCTTCTTCCAAGACATGATCAACATCTTTGAGGTCTTCCTTCCACAACTCTTAAGGTATCCCAACCCTACCGACCCTTTGAATGGTGAAGCTGCTGCCTTGTTGATGAGGGAACCAACGTCATATGAACAGAAAGTTCGAGGTAAAAAAACGCATAAGTACTGATATAATATGAACAACCATGCTGAATTCGACCATCTTTATACACCAGATTACGTGGCGAAATACGCGACCAAGGAAGCAGCTGATGCAGCAACAGATGATAGTGATTCCGAAGAAGATATGAGTTCAGTTGGATCGTTTTCGGAAGATGAAGCTCAAGGAATGGAGCTATGACCAAACACTCAATGCCTCCTTCTTCCTTATTATTTAAAGATTTGTATCATCGCATGTTTCGGATAAAACAGAATGAAAATCACGACGACACACAGGTTGCCCTTTTTTTTGAGGTATACACAGGGTTGGTGATGAGAGAGAGGCAGCGAAGAGAATGATTCGAAAGCTTGCAGCGCAGGTGTATGGACACATTTGAAGCGATGCTTGTCCGTCCTGGCGAGAGTGTTGGAAATTTCTGTGCTGCGTGACTTTCATTCGAAAACGCGTTGTACAGAGACCTTCGGAGCCTCGGAGTACCACCAGATGACCAAAATAAGATTGAAATTAAGTTATATTTCATTAAGTTATATTTCTTAGTATGTCTCTTCTGCGCTACCTCGCCACGTGGAGTTGGCTCTTGAGAAACTGTCAAGTCATGGAGGAAGGAAAGAGGGATCTCCTTACACAAATTTACCACAGAAAAGACCCAATCTCCAAGAACTCAAAGGTATGATAATGTTCGACGATATTCCAAGGTCCTTTATGATGTGTTTAAGCTATAAGCCTCGTTTGCGTCGGTTGCAAAGTTGAGTGAAATTCGAGGAGTGATCAATTTCGTGAGGAAGTCGTGTTTAGAGACCGGTTTGAGGCGGTTTGAGGCTAACTGCATTTTATAATTTATGATATCTATAGATGGATCGTTCTAGCGCTTTCGGAAAACATGGGCAAGTGGTACAACACACAAGAGCAGTATCGAGTCTAGTGACGGCAGAATCAGATTCCAAAGTCTTGATCTAGATATTCGACAGGTACACCAGATTATTTTTTTCGCTGACAATTGCAATACTCAAGCTTAGAGTACCTTTACCACAGAGTGCATAGCAGCCATTTCGAACCACAATGCACAAACAGGTCCCCAGCACTTCTAAGAAGTCTTGTACGTGTTCATTCAGGTGGAATATTCCTAAACGCAAACTTGGGAGCAAACAAAAAGTGTGCAAATATCGAGCAGGCCATCATGTCAGTTTTGGACGCACATCTTGATCATCTGCAGCTCATCTTTGACTGACATAAATGCTTGTACCAACTGTCAAAATAGTGCCACCCATATCGACTACGAAAGCTAACTTGTTTTGACGAAAAGGGGATCACACATCAATTCATTCCATATCCTGCAACACCATTAAATTGCACATTCTTTGGTGCCGATGGTGCCGATGATGAGACAATATTGATTCTCTTCAAACGAGTCAGACGTTTAGCGGATGAGGGTGTTGGTGTAATTTCCGAGCCCAAAAAAATCCGACAGGACGTTTGATCAATGGGCTCAAGACCATGCATTCTTCCGCCACCAGCGACTACACCACTAGGTCCTTATCAAATCAGATCTACCTTGGAATACCTCCGTTTGTAAGATGGCCCCCTCGTTTGGAAATTGCACCTTTCGTATGGAATGATGGCACTACAAACCTCGAAACATCACCGAAGCGTTTCCGATTGAGATTGACCACATCATAGTGTCAGTGCATCGTACACTACTTCAACTATCAGATTCTGAGTAGTAAAAAAAAGTCCCAGTTTCCTCGACGCATTCCAGTTGGACTTGAATTATAACATTATAAAGAATTATAACATATAGCAAGACTATCTGAATCAATCATCCAACCGTCTGCATAGGCCTAGTTAGCCTGGAGGGTCGAGGGAAAAGAGATTTGATTCTTCCATGACAGCCATTTCATCAATAGCTCCAATTTCAACACTCTCTAACATCCAAAGAAAGCAATTTGAACAACCGCCAAACCCCAAATTCCTCTTTCAACAGCATGTGGTATTTTGTGCCTCTTCTACCAACACAAAAGAAAAAAACTAACTACAAATATCTCTCGTCTCTCTCTGTCTCCTCATGTCTCTAACTTATTTGGCACCACCAGCAGACGCAGTAATCTCTGATCCAATACGATAACTTCCAATTGCATTCCTATTTCAAAAAAACAACATTCGTCAACACCACAAAAAAGTGACCACTACAGCAGCTTCACTCGTACCAGTCAATACGATTACGCGTGACAGGTAGAGCACGACGTAAAGCCTTGAAAGTATTGTCTGATAACTGAGCATAACTTTCATTCAAGTATGTTTGAAAGTCGTTTTCGATTTTCAGGATTTGTTTGATGGTGGATGATGCCAATGTTGATGCGTCCTACATAATTGAAAGGATGACAAGATGAGAATTAATACTTTGGTTTAGTGACATCCTTGCAGTGCATAGTCGTTTTTTTTGTCTGACTGGCCAGTTGTTAATCCACCATGAAACCCCTTTTGAAAGGAGTATCATAAAATTCTCTTCCTTGCAACTGTATCTCTGTGACGATATCTTTATCCACAACTACCCCTCCATCTGCATGCACTGTCTCCATCTCTTTCAACACCACGCCAGCCAAAAAAAAACCTCAAATCAAATGATAAGATACTCACGCTAGCAGCCCCCACAACACCAGTAACATCCTTACTCGTATTCAATTGCACATTCCCATCTTCATAATAATGTACTTGTAGTTTCACGGTACCCTTCAAGTCACCACCTGTAACTGGAATCGTATAGTATGAGCGCCATCTTCCGTTCCTACATCATACAAAAAAGTTAGTAGCTGACACCCAAAAAGAGCACATGAAGTCTGATAATATGGAAGCATCTTACCAGAAATTGTTGGCATTGTACTTTGAATCAACGATAACGATATGCAGCGTATTGTTGACGAGGTACACGGCCGAGGCACCTTCCGGGTAGTGTTGTGATACGTATTGTTGGATTGCGTCATCCATGGCAATCCTATATTGTCAATGCTAGCGACTCAGGTCCCAGTTTATTTTGGCGTAATTTGTTTCAGCACCATTTTTATTACCTGTGAGGGTTTCCGTCATGAGATTCTTTCGTGACGCCTTCTACCGTCTATTACAATATAAAAGGAAAGTCAGATCCTGATGCCTTTGAGGTACTCTTCGAAAATCAGTCAACAACTTGCCCTTCGAACATGATCAAAAGTAAACGAGTGGCCTGATCGAGGGTCTTGGTATACGCCAGGAGATACTTGTGCATGTACAGATATAATCACCTGTAATACCAATAGACAGTAGTGCGTCAACGACAGAATACCTAAATTCCACCAAGATTTCCAAATGTCACAACACATACAGGATGGTCAATGCCAGGAACAGAGACAGTAGTATATTGTTCGGTATTGTATTGTTCGAATGCAGATCCTATTCCCTTTTGTAATGATGCGTCGTCGGCCACCAATGTCCGTATATCTGTGACAAGTTGCAAGAAGTGTCAACTCATGTTTACGAGCGATTACAGCAAGAACTTGTTCCTAGCTAAATTCCATACCATTGAATACATCATTGACTTCTCCTGGAGGCGAGTCCAGTAGGAATCCTGAGGCGATTTTGACCTTGTCTGCCATATTTGTGGTTTATTGGTGCGGTATGTGTGAGGCGTGTTTGAACAGGAGAATAGAGTGAAGGAGAGCAAATGAACATCAACGACGCATACCTTCTACTTCTATATTTATATATCACGTTTTTACACTTTTACAAACTGTACACAAGTCGTGCTCACTGTTCAACTTTACGTTCATTATCAGCGTCTACGAGAAGCAAAAAATCAGCATGCGACAGCTGGACCAAAAGCAACCAATTGCTTCTGTTAAATCACAATTATGATACTTACAATTCACGACATTCTTCTTGACATCCGAAGGTAGCTTTTCAAAACACCTCTTACAGAACGGTTTGGTATCCCATTCCACAAACTTGACTTTACCAGAAGCCAAATTCACATGACATCCCATGCATAACAAGTGATTTTCACACCATTTACGTCCTAGTGCTTCCACCACTACAGATAATGAACAGAAGGATTAGATCATTTGTCAAGTATTAGGTTCACAAACAAGCAACATCATCAAGGCAACTACAAGCGCATCTGTGGCTATCTCTTTTCGTGTGTCTTGATCTCATTCAATCATATCTAGAATTCACATCATGCTTACATCGACCAGCACCGGCTTCACGACATAATCCGCAAAAGGCACCCATGACTTCATGATAATGTACCTCACAATATGGCTTGTTACCATATTCCCAATACTGGCTAGAAGCAAACGGTCGTTCACACTTGGAGCATACAAAGTGCTATTGCAAGAAAGCGAGGTAGTATTAGCTTTTTTGGTGTCAGTTGGCAAACTGACGACGAGAAAAAGCCCCAAAGGTTCCTCTTTTATACACTCTTGTAACCACAATCGTACAACTCTGTTTCGGTCTACACAAGATATACAATAACACATACCTCAGGATGAAACTGTTTCCCAAATGCAGTAATACTCCTTCCATATATAGGCCCACGACAAGCATTACACATCTTACTACTCAACCCATCGAAACAAGTCGCGCAATACAGTTTCCCTTCATGTTCTTTGCATTTTGTGGATAGCTCTTGTTTACATTGAGCACATGAAAAGTGGTGAGCGTGGAACCGTTGTCCTTTCAAGATGAGAGGAGCACCGGTGATTGGCTTCTTGCATCGTTCACACAAGTCTTGTATTTCAGCCTCTGCATAGAATGATGAGTATGAATGAGTATAGGTTGAACATGCGTGTGGTGAGTATGCATGAAGAGAGATCACTCAAGAATCAATGACCACCAACACATTCTTCAACACCAATCAGACACATACCTCTAGCCCTCAACTTTGCATAACAATCCTTACAAACAGGCTTGCCATTCTTCTTCAAGAAATTCAATCCAGCCAACGACTTCCCACACGACTGACATATGAAATGTTCAGGATGCCATTTCATGTCCAGGGCATTGATTGCCTTGTCTGTGATAATTTCACCGCATCGACCACAGCGCGATCCAAACAGCACTGCATAGTCGTCGCCACAGAGGAGACGTCCTTCGGCTTCAAAGTAGACCCCGTTTGCGAATGGGCGGAGACATTGTTGGCATCTGTGATGCGATGAGGTGTAGGTTGTTAGAATTGTCGGATGTGAATAGATCGAGTATGTTATATGTCAAATACAATGAATACAATGATGATCATACTAGATCAGTTCAGATCAATTCTTCCAAATCGACAGCCAAAGAAAACACCAATAGGTCAAGCAACTGATAGCAATGCACTTACAGGAAGCAGTCGTTATGGTATTCGAAATCGTTGGCCACGACATGTGGACCGTGGAAATCCTCTTTACATATCTTGCATCCTGTTGCCATCTTGGTTCTCTGGTGTTTGGATTTTAAGTACTTTTGAGTGAAGGGATAAAGCGAGCAATCCTTTGATGAAACACGTCTCGAAAATACACATTCTCGTGCATTAATATTTTAACTTCATCAGCTGCTTATCGGATCACGTCCCTTCATCGCTGTCCATCCGTCAAATTGACAATCCTTCGAAGCATTCAACCAGCAACAGAGATAGTATACTAGATAGACAGCCAGTCCCGCGTACACGATGGCAGTCAACGACGGCATAACCATTCTGGTTTCGATGCTCTTTATAGGATCCATAGCTGCTGCTGGATTGTACTTTATTCCAAAATCACAGGAACAAGTGTGAGTGAGATAGTGTGTTGTTTGTTTGTATTAAGTAGTCTTGCACAATTTACTCACATTGTTTCTCCTATAGAGTACATCGAACTGCTCTGGTCATGACTCTAGTTTGTTGTTGGCTCATGTAAATCGCTGAATCCATTCTACATCATTTTGTCATGATATTGGACACAGGTGCCTGAATGTGTTGCTTAACGTCTCTATTCTTGAACACTAGGTGGGTTATAACTTTTATGGCTCAAATGAATCCCATCATAAAGGTATGCCTTGTTGGAATTGTGGTGTTGATTGAAGAACTTGGCGTAAAGGGATACCAGCAACACCAACGTATTCTACCCCTCCATCTTTCTCACATCTGCCACTCAATCTAAATACATAGCCGGAACGCTCTTGGGGATCAGAATAAAACACACACACCACATCCCACTCTCTCTTCACCACTATCTCGCATCATAATCGAAGTGTACAAAGTATATGAGTCTTCTTCTTCTTTCTCCCTCCCAAAAAATACAAATCTTAGACAACTTAAAAATGAAACAGGGTTTACAGTAGTATCTGCTAAATGCATGATGCTCACAACAAGGCAGAATCATTGCCATTCAATATCAAATTCCCAAAGAACTGAATCTGCAGCTCAAACTCAGACACTTTGATACGCTCATTGACTCCGTGGATTCGTGCCGCGTCGGCAAGAGCTATTTTTACTGGGTTGAAGCGGAAGATGTTTTGCGTCATTGAGTAATAGTGTTTGCAGTCCGTTCCGCCTGGATGTGGTTGGGAAGAGTTAGTCTATATAGAAAAGCACAGAAAAGAAGTACAATTCTTCATGCGCTCGGATAATGTTGCCTTTTTTTGTTTGCAAAGACGCAATCAAATTACACTCACCAATCATCAAACCAGGAGAAACAATCACTTTACGTTTTCCTCCCTCAGAAAACACATGTCTGGCGGTACCTTCGACTAGTCGGAAGGCTTTTGTTTCAGTCGAGCTTAAAGGAGCTGGATTCTCTCCTTGATTCACTTCAACACTCAAGTCACTGCCTACTGCACTTTGGATGTGGTCATGGATGTGCTCAACTGTACTACCAGGATATATTCTGGCGTTTAATGTGGCTGTTGCGAATTCAGGCAATACATTCTGTTGGTAATGAGAGAAAATGGTGAGGAAGGGCTTTGAGGTGATGATCAACAAAAATTAGACGAAGTGGCAGGGATAAAGACTTGGAATCCAAGTCGCGCCCAATTCGACAACGTTCGTACTTACATCCTTAATACCAGCATGAATCATCGTAGCAGCAATAGTCGTCCTGACCATTGCAATAATACTTGGTGGGGCATACTCGACAATTCGTAACAAGAGTGGTTCAAACAACCACAAGTTCGAGAATACAAGACGAGAAAATACACTAGGCATTTCAGGGATCAAGTATGCCAAGAATTCATTCATTGGTGATATGCGTAGTGAGGCGGGAGGCTTGGAATGGTATACACGAGCTAGAGCTTCTGCGAGGTCGAATATGGCGGTTTTCTTTGGTGGCATTGCTATTGAATGTGTTTGAGTGGTGTTACTCGCACATACTGGTATAGTCTTTGGGTTTTTGTCTGTTGTAGCTACAGTAGTTTTGTGATTGAATTGAAAGGAAACGTACATGAATGTCCACCAGCTGCTTTGGCTGTGATTTTGTAGTTTCCATATCCTCGCTCAGAAACCCCAATAAGGGCTAGAAAAACAGTGTTAGGCATTTTGCTCCAAAAATGGATATCGCGATTGTACCCATATGAAACCTCACCAACATCCTGATCACCCATTCCAGGAAGATCATCAATCACAGTCAGTCCTTCATCAACAATAAACTCCACTTCGACTCCCCTTGACATCAGATGCTAAGTGAGATTTGAGAATAGCGGTCATCAGAAACGAAAAAAAGGGACTTTGACGTGTTACGAATGTAAACAACTTACACGAGCAATATGCCCAGCGCCATCAACCCCGCCAATCTCCTCATCATGCCCATACGCCAGGATAACACTCCTCTTTGGTCTAAAACCACAAGCAAGCAACGCCTCAACAGCCTCCAATTCCGCAATACACATATTCTTGACATCTAACGTGCCTCTTCCATACAAGTACCCTTCCTTGACGTCCGCCTTGAACGGCGGTACATCCCATAGATGCAGACTCTTCTCCTCACAAGGAACAACATCTAGATGCGCCATAAACATCATGGGTTTGAGCGATGGATCCGTTCCCTTCCATGTGTAGAGTAGCGAGTAGTCGTTAATGATTTCACGGTTTAGGAAGGCGTGCACTTTTGGGAATGTGTCGAGGAGGATTTTGTGGAGTTTTAGGTATTCGGAAGCGACGAGAGTTGGATGTGGGTGTGATACTAGGATGGTGAGGTTGTTACAGCTAGGATGCAACTCTTTGATAATGTGCAAGAAATACAGCAACGATATGCGATATGACAATATCAATGAATATGGTCATGAATTGTCGACACAATTCCGTTTGCATTACACGACATTTGCACGAGCCAGTGTGATTTGATGACACAAACGAATAAGAGAAACACGTTCAAAAAACAGATACAAAACATACCTGTCTCGCATCTTACGACACTAGCCAAAGCATTCACAGCTCTCTTGAAATCATACTCTGGTTTAACGTTGGATGTTGGTTTTAAAGGAGGCTTTTGCTTGGAGCTCGATGAAAGAATGGCATTCAAGGCCAATAAGGCACTCAAGGAGAGCGCACCGAAGCCTAGTACACGTAAGATTAGTTGTCCTCGTTCATGCATTATCGATGTTTGGACTCTGTGTTATCGTTGTTATTGTGGTGCAACATTCTCAGGGTCTTTTCATATAGATCACGGGTAGGAAATCGCGTTTATTTGTTGAAGAAAATTGTGCTTGGCTGTGAGCTGCATCAGTCCGTTTGCTTGATTCAAACAAATTGGCAAACATTGCGTTGAACTCGTATATTTTGCTGATTTTTTTTGCTGAAGCTCCATCATCCAGACTACTCCTTTAGACCGTTTACCCATCAAATCTCGTCTTCTTGATGGTCAATTCCCGCTGTAAACCACCACAGTATTTCGAGACTTTGCATGCCACGATGTCACTAATCAAAGTGGACGCGCAACAGTTTTGTAACTCCACCCTTCACGGTTAGAAGACCATGTTAATGTATTTAGATGCCGTTTGGTGTCATGTGAATATACTTGGGACGCTGGTTCACAGACATTCAAAGTGCAATACTGGCTTATAGCTCGTTTTGAATGGAAAAGACTTGATGCGGTAGGTAAGCTTCTTTGCATTTATTTTGAAAATGAACTACAATGGTTGCCCAGAGTCCACCAATATTCACTCTAGATAACATGGCTTTCTAGGAAGGGTCTCTGTCTATATTGCTGAAAATGTAGTTCAAGTTGGTATCGCTGCCACTGGTCGAGACTTGGGAAACCTCGTCGCGAAACAAAGCCGGTCGATTCCGTTAGCCTACTTTCAACTTTATTTGAACAGGTTTGAAAAATTTGGATGCTGGTATCTACCCCTGTCTAATTCATGCTAACGCTGTCGCTAGTGGGGATTGGTGTGCTGCTGGGGGTGAAGAAGGTCCAGACAATGAATTGTTTCGTTTTCTTATGGTTCTTTCGTCACAACTAGTTCATTTGCACAAAACTGGGCATCAACGCAGAAGCTGCAATTTGTACCACCGTTCCTGACGATCCTGCTATAAGATGCACAGTAGAACGCAGACATGATGTGTGTTTCCGTCCACTACCAAAATCACTTCAGAATAGGCTGATTCTTTGACTAGCTTTTTTGTTTCTCGCCATTCAAGTTTCAAAGTTTTGCAAGTCTTCTACAAAGCCTGAAACTGATACTCTTGCGGTACGTCTGGTGTATCATTTAACTTGAACCGAGCTTTTTGTGTTACATTCTCTACGGTGAACTTAGGCAAAGCTCTGGACACCACACACTTTACAAAAATTCAGGGACGTGCTCATCTCACAACTCTTGAAGTAATATAACTGGTACTGCATGTGCTTATGCTGCAGTTGCTGGCTAAATTCATTGGTAAGCTTGGTCAGAAGTCTAGGGCTACTCCAAACAGGGACAAAATGCTCGTCTGCTCTCAAATCCAACGTAACCCTACCACCAGGCAGCACCAACAGGGCTGTAGTACAAACTTCGCCGATACCTACTGGAACAAACGCAGCTGACGCACCTACTGCTGCCTCTGCCAAAAAGCAATGGTGAATTATTTGCTGTATGGGAAGCTGATCCGTATGTTTGGTTTTTACACTTTATCACATTTGGAAAGTGTTCGTCATATCTTCTTTACAATTTTTCCGATCATGTTTGGTTAAATTTGTGCGTTTGTAGCTCGACACGTAAATTTTTTGCAGTTGAGTCCCGACGCAAACTGCCTCTACGCGTAACAGAGACACTAAAGAGCAGCGTTGAGTCTAGATCAAGGTCAAATCACGTAAACTCATGCGCTCTCATCAGGAATAGAGTACTTGACTATAACGGACTTGATCAGTTTTCTATTTTCAAATTAGTAGAAAGGCAGAAAACGCTACGACTTGACACGAAAGTCAGCCAGTTTTTACTTTAAATCCCTTATTTATTCCCAAGAAATCGCGTTACTGAATGGATTACGCGGTGTAAATGGTACTATCGCTACTGTCATCATCTCACCAACATCTGCAGCAACAAGACAAGAACGAAACAAGGAACTTTCCTCTTTTTTACTGGGTGATATACTCGCATACATACACTCAACTCGTCGCTATTACTCAAGCACTCGTTTTCATCATCACTCATCAACCATCTCACTTTGTGGATCCAAACACGGAATCTACATTATACCATGAAAGTTTTAATTGCTTCTTTGGTATCTTCCGTTTTGAGCGTGCCCGTCATGTCTCAGTACGTAAATGCTCAATTCACCTCTGAAGTTCCGTGTCTTTGTATCGTGATTGTTGCAAACTCATGACTTCACTGTTTCCAGAATGGTCGCATCACTCAACGTTGGCGGAAAAGGCGTCGGAGGATCAGTCAAGTTTACTGCTTCTGGAAATAATGCCGTCCAGATTCTCGCTCAAGTTACTGGTATGTTTTTCATCCACATGGTCATTTCATTGCAAATTTTGGTCTACACCGTCTCACCCAGCTACGTGATTTTCGTAATATACTAGGATTACAAGGATTGGATATAAATAATATCTATCCTTGGCATATACATGTGAATGCAATCTCCGGTACTGATTGTGCCAGTGCTGGTGGTAAGTTCTCAAAGTTCCTGCGTGCCCATTCTGTTTGGATTGTGGTCTTTTTGAAGATTCGACAACACGATGCTTGACTATTGATGTTTCTTTGGGGACTGCATGCAAACGCATGTCTGATCATTCCCCCTTCTCTCATCAGGTCACTTGAATCTTTTAAATGTTGCCGAGACAGGAACAACTTGTACCGAAGACCCAGCTCAATTTGCAACCAACTGTGTAACTGGTAACATGGCTGGTAAATTCGGAGCTCTGTCACAAGCTGGCTCAAAGTCTGGCATCGACCATACTTTTACTTTGCAAGATCTGGTTGGACGATCTGTTGTTGTTCATACGGATGATACTGCCAAAGTAAATACACACTCCCGGTTCAGCAATCGTTCAAAGCAACACTGATTTCCATCTTTTTTCCGTATAGACTCGATTGGCATGTGGTACTATAACTGGAAACCCTGGTCAAACAGCTGCAGGAAAGAATGCAACGGCTGTAAACAATGGTGGTGCCAAGAACGGAACTGCTAAAGGTACTGCTACGTCACCAAATCCGAATGCTGGAGCCAAAGCTCAAAATGGTGCTAAGGCATCTCCTGCAGCTCAGAATAATAAAGCTGCAGCATCTCCTGCACCAAAACAGAATGCTAATGTGAAGGCATCTGAAGCTGCTCAGAATGTGAAGGCATCGCCTGCTGCCAAAAAAACTGCTGCTGTCAAGGCATCGCCAGCTGCACAAAAGCCAGCTGCTGCCAATAATGGCAATGGCAATGCTAAGCCAACACCCAAGGTAAAACGAGGCAGGTACTTGTGAGAGGTCTGGAGTTGGATATACATAGTTTCGGTTTGTTGTCTGTGTGATGGAGATTCCTGTAAAGAAGTCTGTGTGTTATAGTTCTGTGACTTTGCTTGAATATAGAAGCTTCTCGAAACAGGTCTGAAGTATTGATATGAAGCAGGTCGAAAACGTTGTGTTTTGTTGCAGGCGTTTTGATGCTCTTTGCGATGTCTCTCTTTGAAGCTGGACTCGCCCAGCAAGTTGCAAATTCTCTTTCTTTGCTGTTGAATGTAGCTGATATTCATGGTGATTTGGATCTTGACATAACTGCTGTCTGGATTCCATCAAATGTGTTCGATTGCCAACATCGTTCCACCATGCCGTTTTCGAACTTGCATTGTATGAAATGAATCTCAACTTTGGTTTAGCTTACAACTCCCTTCGATTCCAAATCTCATTAGACTGGTCGCCACGTTCAACGGAATGAACGGCATTGGTGGTATCCTGTTCCAAGCATCTGCAGACAAGGGAACTACTACTCGTATCAAAGCTGCTGTAACATGTATGTCTCAAAACGAAATTGGACCAGTATTTGTCAATGTCTGTTCTCTAACATCGCCATCATTGTTTTCCACTCAGGATTGAATGGGCTTGACGCCTCAACCATGTTTGCCTGGCACATTCATGCCTCTGCCGTTATAAATAAATGATTGTGCTACTGCTGGTGGTAAGGCTTGATCCCTTAGTGCAACGTTTCATTTGAGATCAATTCGCCAACTGCAGGATCTGACTCTTTTTCTTTCTGATTAGGTCACTTCAGCAAGCTTGGTATCGATGAGGACGCTGTAGTCTGTACTGAGGATGCTGCCACCTTCGTGACGAACTACGCAACCGGTAATCTTGCAGGCAAATTTGGGATGATGTCAAACGCCGGATCCAAGACGGGAATTGTACGTTGACTTTGAAAATTTCAATTTGCTTTGGACTCAAGAAAAAAAATTTGTTCACGCCTAGTCGCTCTTTTAGGATCACACTTTCGGGCTGAACGACATCCGAGGATTGTCAGTCTTTATTCACAAAACTGATACAGCCAAGGTATAAATTCATCGCATTGCAACTTTTCCAGTATTTTTAACATGGGCTCACTCCTTTTTTCTCATTCTAATAGGCCAGGCTCGCCTGTGCCAACATTATGGACGAGCCAACCGCCGTGCCATTCGGAAACGGAGACACAAATCTATCTCCAGCGTTCGGTAGTCCAAAACCGTCACCATCATTCGGAAATGGACGAGCAGCAAGCCCAAACTTTAAAGCTCTAGCATCTCCAACTCCATCCATGAATAATAATGGATATCAACCCAAGAGGTCTCCATACCCTTCTAACGGGGACTACTCCGTCTTCTGGCAACAACAGGGCTGCATTACCTATTCCTTCAAACCATGTGAAAGCTTTTCCCATGCCATTAAAGAATGTTAACCCCTGGCCGACGCCTTCGATGAAGGTAAAGGAATCATCAAAGTCTTCACCTGTGACTTAACAAGTGAAAGCTTCTCTAATGCCGAAAAGGAATAGAAGAAGGCTCTAGTCTGTCACATTGATTTAAAGACGGCAATCTGTGTGTAATCGTTTGGGTTGTAAATTAATCTTTGTGGGATGTGCCTTATGTAATATTTCCCTGTGCGCATCATAGAATATCAATAGACTTAGAGTTTTGAAAATTTCGATTCTGGTGGTTTTGAGTGTTAAAGTGTTGAAAGGCTATTGTTGCTTCACGTCCGATGAAACTTTGTGGAGACTATTCTGAGCCAAACTTCGTATCGATCGGTAGCTTAAAGCTGAAGCATCATGTTTTCCTTGCATAGATTAGCTGTTCGGACTGGGAGTTTTATTACGTTCTCGGTATTCAGAATCGTGGTGTTGCCTACAAAAGACGCATTTTCAAATCGAGAAAGCAAGAGTTACCAGCGACCACGGACCATCAAAACATAGGAACTTATGTGTCGCAAAGGGCTAAGGTTGGCCACTCTCTTCATGTAAAATTCTCAAGTGAGATGTTGTGGACATTGGTAAACCACGATGCAATCACTCCACAAATTTTTCTTCAAAGAATCCAAACTCAGTAGTAACTTTGAGTGAACTCTACATCACTTGCATACGTGGACAATCCCTTACTTCAGACACATTACAGACATGAATCTGTCAGTTACACTCTTCACGATGGCTCTTTTCGGAGACGCATTTGCCCAGTAAGTAGTCAGATTGCTGTTATCTAGCTTTTCTATATGAATCGCAGTCTATAGTTATATGAATCTTGCCATCACGGTTCGATGACATCAACTTTGCCTATGCTACTTCGCTGTCCTGTTTTTCGAATTTGAAAGGCCTAAATGAATTTCAAATCATTTCGTACTAACAATCACACTCGATGCTAAACTGTTGCTAGAATGGTAGCCACATTCAATGGAATGAATGGCATTGGTGGTAGTGTTATGTTCCAAGCATCCGGTGACAAGGGGACAACAACTCGTATCAAGGCTGCCGTTACAGGTAAGGCTCACGATAGTAGCGGGTGAGTATTGATCAGAGTCTCTTATCTAACATCACCATCACTGTTTCCAACTCAGGATTGAATGGACTTGACGCTTCAAACATGTTTGCTTGGCACATTCATGCTTCGGCTGTTAGTAACAATGATTGTGCTACTGCTGGTGGTAAGCTTTGATCTTTGATTCTGGTGAAAGTGCTCAATCTGATCTGTCTTTCTCATTTGTGTAGGTCACTTCAACAAGCTCGGTATCGATGAGGCCGCTGTAGTCTGTACTGAAGACGACGCCACCTTCTTGACGAATTGCGCAACCGGTAATCTTGCTGGCAAGTTTGGAATGATGTCAAACGCCGGATCCAAGACTGGAATTGTACGTTGACTTTAAAGTCTCAAATCGCCGTTTTGTAGCTCACGCTTCGACTCCTTCCTTTAGGATCACACCTTCGGCCTCAACGATATTCGAGGACTTTCTGTTGTTATTCACAAGAACGATGCTGCCAAGGTAAGGAATCCTTGAACTCACGTATTGCCATACGTTAGCAGATCCAGGAGTTTGATATCCACTTTTGTTCCCGTTAAACAGACTAGGCTTGCATGTGCCAACATAATGGACGACCCAGACGCCGTGCCATTCGGGAACGGAAACGGAATGGCATCCCCGACTCCATCAGTATATTACAACGGATATGGGCCATTGATGTCTCCATCTCCATCCCCTACTCCGTCACCTTTGAATAACAAGGCAGCTTTACCCATTCCGTCGAACAAGGCAAAAGCATCTCCCATGCCATCAAACAATATGAAGGCTTCACCAAAGGCTTCACCAATTGCGTCGCCAAATGTAAAAGCTTCGCCAAACGTGAAGGGTTCTCCAAAACCATCTCCCAAGATGAATTAAAATTCGTTCTGGGGTACAGTCTTGACGGCTGGCATATTTGTAATCTGAGTGATTGTTGAGAATGGTAATTGTTTCGCTGTGTGCGACAATGAATCAATAAAACTTGATATTTCATTTTAAAGGTCTGACCGTGTGCCGCTTTTTTCAACTGATCCAATTGTCTACAAGCTGATCAACACAAAAAAATTCCGTGGAAATATCTTATATAAGGTCTAAAGTCCTATTAACAAAGAGAGGGAGGTTCGTGGAATGCAAAAGTACAAGAAACAAGACTCATCCAGTTTCACTGACAATTGGACTGATGAGTGCTAAGCTTCAATCTTGCATCCCTGTGAAAAACTCTCTCTGTTTAGCGAAGATGACAATCACAATGCTCAATTGTCCCAATATTCCCAAAATAAGCCCGGCTACTGTGATGGAGAAATATTTCCATTGCAGCTCATTCTAATATTGACCTTCACTAACGGTCGTCCATCGGCAAACGCTTGGATTATGAAATTTTCATCATCCAACAATGCTGTGAAGTTTGGTCCAAAGAAAGAACCAATGCTAGCACGAGGTGTCCGTGACGTATCGTAGAATAGTTCTCGACATGAATCGGACGCCTCTTTATGCAGCCCTTCCATCAAAGTTGAGCCAGTTCAGTGCGTTTAGTGCGTTTCAACTAATTTAATGACGCAACGACGCAAAGTCAGTTTGCATCAGGTACCTGTAAGTTCTCACTCACTGACTGATCAAGAGTGGATTGCAATGTTTGATACTATTTATCTTTCGTCTCAAATATCTTAGATTCTCTTCGTCCTCTCCAAAGTACCTCTCCCAATAATTTTTTCCAACACTACTGCGATTTTACGAGGAACTTTTGGCATTGCCATCAAAACCCGTTTCTTGTAATTATAATCGCTACATATTATAATCTCGAACACTTTCAAACCTGACGCGCGTGTACAATAATATTAAGTGATCTTGTATTAGGTTGTTGGATCGGGAAACCAGAGGCCAGCTTCAACGACTATCATGAATTCTCACTCTCAACCAGATCCACCACATTAGAGTTTATCCGCTTCAGTACCAGAGCTCTCTCGTCATGATCCGCAGGAGTGGCATTAACAGTCGTCTTTGAAAACTTGCTTGCCTCGAACGTAGTAGAAGTGCTCCGTGAAAGATGAGCGTAGCTAGGGAAGTAAAATTTCATCCATGCGCCTCGTAGCCTCCTGTCAGTTCCTATGGCTACAATGGATAGTAGAGGTACGGATGCCACTGCACAGCATAGGATTAATGCACCAATCCAATCAGGCACTATGCATTTTAAGGAAGGGCTGTGAGAGGTGGTTTTGTCCATGTTTATGAAATCCATACCTGGTATGCCAGTAAGGAGCTCGTAAACCAGCTCGACGACCACTGAATGAAGGATTTATTTAGTCAGTAACGACACCCAAAGCAAACAAGACTTACATGGAAGCCAGCATCCGGAAATGACGACCGTGAAAGTAACCAAACTGCCAAATGCGGCTTGTTGTGCCTTCCTCATAACGTTCTCTTGCCCATTCCCCTTCGTTACTATCGACTTGATCACATTTCGATTAAAATCACTGTTTCTCCGTCTGGCTTCCGCCACAACCCTCCATATGGACCAGTTACAGTATATGACACCCAAGAAACAGAGATTCAAGGCACAAAGGGAGAAGATTGTAATGAAGAGCTCTAATGGCTCTCGTTTGTAGAAAACCGAATGGCATATGAGACCTGATGGCATTACTGTGACGAATGAATTTGTGCCTAAATTTTTTGTTCAAATTAGAGTTATGCGAAAGTAGGTCTTGACAAAAAAAACGACTGTTTACCAACAATGGCAAGAATGCCCCAAAATACTCCTAGAAGAGCTGCACCAGATGCGAATAGCAAACATGTCCTCCAATTGAGCTCGATATTACGAACTATAGCGAAATACCTGATTTTTCAAATATGGCACCAAAAAATTGAGTATGAGTAATCCCATCTACCTTGCACCATGTCTTTCTCTCTCACACCTGACTGCCGAAAGGCTCAATGTGATAGCGAGCGTATTCGAAGCTAGCAGGTTGACAAAAAAGTAATCCAGTTGACAAACCCAGTATGGTTCTAGACTGAAAAATCCCTTCATTCCAGACCAGATACGAATGGGAAATAGCACCACTGATGTTAGCAGGGAAACTCCAGCGCCGATCGGTAGATGGATGTAATTTGCTATCGTTGTCGTAATGTTAGTACAGTAATTTTGATTGGTATCTGAAAGACTCGGCAATAAAGACAAATCACAGATGCAACGCAACATACGTATAAGAAGGTCTCTCCTCCTACAAATCATCAACACCACAATCGTGAGTTGCCCTAAAATCCCAACAACAAACTGCGTGACGATAATGGAATAGAAAGCCCATTGGACGGCACTCCAGTAATGGATATCATCACCCATCGTATATGCCACCACTCAGGAAAAGATTCGAAGCTCTAGAGCCACAAACCTTGATAAGACACCACATACAGTTCCGGAAATTCCGATGACAGGGTTTTCGCTACTGCGGCGGTAGATTAACCATGATTTGTGCCTCATTGCACGGTGGATGTTCATTTTTCGATACGATTCCTTCTCAAAACACGGCTTCGGTCGCTAGATCGTTCCTATTGTGTTTCTGCGTCCTTTTTGTGCAATATCTGCCGGCTGTCAACTCAAAACAAGAACACGTTTTCCACCACGTCCGCTACAATTCTCACCAGCTATTGTGCAATGGAATCGAGATTATATTCTACAAAATAATTATGTGATCTTGTATTATTACATCGGGGCAACCAGCCGCTTTTTACACTATACTCTAAACTGGACTGTTATACAGTCGAATTCTCAATCAGATCCAAGTGGGAATTTTTGTGTTGCAATAGCAAAGTCTTTGAGTCTTGACCGGCGGTCCCTTGAAAGCCTTCTTGACTTGTATGCATTGGTAGCAACAACGAGAATCACACCCAAAGCATTATTCTTGCGTCATACCTGGCTCGCCAGTGATTAGCTCGTACAAGACCTCGATAAGCACTAATCAACACAAGCAGTGGATCACCCACAGAATGATATGTACAAAATGCTGTTTGGTTTCTTGCAGATGAAACCCACAACTGACAACAGATACTTACGGGCAGACCAGCAAGCTGGAAGAGGCAATGTTCATGATGCTAAACTATACAACGCAGCCTTCTGTGCTTTTGCAATAACATTCCGAGAATCCTAACCTAGATCTTGACTCTGGCTTTCCAACTCTTTGTCATCTTGAGATGGTGTTTCTTCCACCCATAAAAAGTTCGAATGAAGCCGACTCGAATTTCTTGACAAACCTCTAAGCGGTCGCTGACCAAGCAGCCCTGAGTGCACACAAACTACAGCTTCAGGTTCTTTCAACTAGCGTCGAGACCATTCTAACCTGGATTGCTCGCAAAGGTCTTTACGATGTTTACTTGTACATTACTGTTGACATTGTGATTTCATAAGAATGGAACTATCGACCACCCGCAACAAATTAGATTTGATCTTCGTCAATCACCGCACTCGTTCCTGTATCTCACTCAACAGCGGCACTAGCAACAATAACCACTTTCGACAGCGTACGTGACTCGTATACATTCGCAGCTGACACAGCCCCCAGATTCTCCCTTGTGCCAACCGTCTTGGAATTTGTCGCTTTCATTCCAAGCGACCATCTTTGTTGTTCAGAAGTATCGCACGTAGATACGGAATTCTTGTTGCCTGACGCGGCTGTGTTTGTACGTGCAGCAATCGATTTCCGTTGTTGAATATAACTTGGAAAGTAGAATTTCATCCATGCAGCTCGGAGTCTTCTGTCGGTTGATATGGCGACGATGGATAGTAGTGGTACAGATGCCACGGCACAGGTGAGGATTAAAGCACCAATCCATTCAGGCACTAAAAGGAAAGCCACGGAAGGAGCACTCTATGTCAGCGACGGTTTGCGACCCTCTCAGCTGTCCCTTCAAGTTGTAGGACAAGAACTCACCTGGAATGCCTGTCAAAAGCTCGTAAACAAACTCAAAGACCACTTGAAGGAAGAATTAGTGTCTCGTCAGTAGAGTGATTCGCCTTCAAAAACAACATACAATCCAAACGTACATGGAGTCCAGCATCCAACAATTGCAACCGTAAAAGTAATCAAACTGAGAAACGCAGCCTTTTGTGCCTTTTTCATAACGTCAACTTCTTCGCCAGCCTTCTTCTTATCACCAGACTTTATGACATTCCGATAGAAATCATCGCTCTTGCGACTAGCATCAGACACAACCTTCCATATCGACCAGTTGCAATACAAGACTCCAAGAAAAAGGACATTTAGGGAGACGAGGGCCGAGATTGTGATGAAAAGTTCTAGGGTTCCTCGCTTGTAAAACACTGAGTAGCATATTAGACCTGACGGCATTAGTGTAACGAATGAATGTGTTCCTGAAAATATTATGTTGTTTTGCAATGTTCCAGTTAGAAGCTTGAAATGTAACGAGGGTGAGGGGAAGGCAAAACCTGTATGTACCAGCGATAGCTAAAACCCCCCAGAAAGATCCAACAAAAGCTGCACCAAATGCAAATTGCAGGCATGACTTCCACTTGAGGTCGACATTACGAACTATAGCGAAGTACCTGTTTTCAACAAAAGGTATGATGAGCCAAAAAAAGTGGGTAGAACAAAGGCATGATACAGGTTCAAACAACGGAGAACCCCTCAATGATTCAAAGGACCAAACATTACCTGACGATTGAAAGACACAATATGATAATCAGCGTATTCACACCCAGCAGGTTGATGAAGAAATAATCCAACTGACAAATCCATAAAGAATCCAGACTGAAATATCCGTTCAAGCCACACCAGGCACGAATAGGGAGCAGCACCACTGAAGTTAAGAGACAGACTCCAGCTCCAATCGGCAGGTGTATATAGTTGGCTATAATTGTTGAGTGGTGTTGAGAAGGAAACAAGCAGCTAGCGTATTGATCTTTACGGTATGGAAAGAGGCGACCAAAGCAGCATAAATAAATGCAAAACATACGTATAAGTAGGTCCCGTCTCCTAGATATCACCAATACTACAATCGTAAACTGCCCTACAATTCCAAATATAAATTCCAGGACAATGATGGAATAAAAAACCCACTGTATGGGACTCCAGTATTGAATCTCGTCAGTCATTAACTCAAATGTTTTATAATCAGCGGGCAAAAACCTGATCGTCAAATCTTTATTATGCGACCATCATCGTAGAGTTACCAATTGCCCCAATAGTTTGGGGATTTTGTGAGGATCGCTTTAGATAATCAACGGAAAAGGATCCCGTTCGTCGATCAGAATCACTGTTTCATCAACGCCACTCGTTTGTTGTGTGCATCTGGGAACTAGATTATCGTCTATGAGCTTCTGCGTACGTGTGTTTTGTATTTGCCGAATATTATCCGTTCTCACTTTTTTTGGATCGTTCAGTATATTATTATTGTACATGTGGCATATATAAGAAACAAAAACATACAGCCCTGTATATATATAAGTAACGTGTGGTGTAAACGAGACCCTTCCCCAAAAAGCGGATGTACATATGCGAGTCCAAACACAACGAGCATCCTCAACCTCCTGTTGTACTTCTTACGAGAAGGATTTGGTCTTTCTAAATTCTCGCTTATGAGTAATCAGGCCTTGTCGAAGCTGAGGTTTGAATGCTTCATCATTCATTTGACGGTACTCTTGTGGGTTGCATCGTTCCTACAATTGAATGCATTGATTAAGTCCTTTGGATGGCTTCGACTTTTCTGTTATCTGCTCAAAGACTAACCTTGAATCCAGCAAAAAAGTCCTTGTAACCACCTTTCAAAACATAAACCTCTGGATAGCACACGCTAGGATAATGAGCTATAGGCACAAGTGTTCGATCCAATTTTCGTAGTCTTTGAGCCCTAAACAACACATACGAAATACTTGAGTCCCTGGCCTCCACAACATTCTGAAAACATCCAAAAAAGCAAAGAATCAAACGGATTAGACTTACATAGACGGAGCCCTCTGAGAGGAGAATTCACAATGAAGTATGATAGCAACACGTTTATCAGTCACCGGAGGATTGAAAAAAGCCTTGGCCATATCAGCAGGTGAACGAATATTGATGGCGCCCTCAATATGACCACCTTCATACTCATAGTCAAAGCGACAGTCCACTACATGAACGGTATCTATTTGATCACTGAATTTGCCATCCAAGACATCTACCAACTATTAAGCAGTCAAGTGAGAATGTTAGAAGTTGCAGTCGTGGATAAGGGCCAACACAGTTCTCTTTTACCGTAGCACCAGATATCCGTGGAAAAGTATCTTTGCCCTTTTCTTCACAAGGCAATATCCCTTGGGTCATAGTAAACCCAACAGGAATGATACCATCAGGTATAGGCATGGTATAAAGAAGTTCATCCTCGTCCCATGAAGATGAGCTGCCCATTCGACGCATCTTGCTGGGTGGATGACGATTGTTCGAGTCCAGCATACCCATTTCAGAGTTGGATCTGCCAAGAACTGCGATAGAATCTACGTCCATGGCATCATCATCTTCAGTAGCTCCTCCTCCTCTACTATCAATATTGTCGTTCTTGTTTGGGGATTGTCGTAATACGGGACGTTCTAGTGACTCTGCTGCACGTTTTTGAGTCATGTTGGAAGGTGGTATGATGGTCATTGGTTTCGGTGGCATGATGAGGGTTGATTTCCGTAACTATTCAATAGAGAGGGGAGAAAACATTAGAACTTGGTACAAGAGAATGGAGTTCTCACAAACTACGTTGAATCCCTGAAAGTTACTTACAGGTATGGTTGCTAGGTTGATGCCTCTACTTCCAGCTTGTTGAGTTCCTCGTCTGTTGTTCCAATGGCTTGTTGTGCCCAAGTCGAAAGCAGGACGCTTCATGACAGTTGGTAGGCTTGGTGGATTGGCTTGCATAGTGGTGCTAGTGATCAAAGTGTGAGACCGAGTTGTGTATATAACAAAAAAAGACGAACTGGTAGTCTCATACCTATCTTGTTTTGGTAATGTGGCAAACATGTCTGATCCTTGACTACCCTCTAATCGAGCAGATGCAGTAGCGTTTCTTGCAAAGGCTCGTTGTGGAAAGTTTGGTATGGTCTTAATGGGTCGCGAATCCTTGAGCAGAGTAGTATTGTTGTTGCTGGTTAATGTTGTTGATGTCGGTCGTGATGGAGTGGGATCCGACGTTTGTACGAGACCTACAAGCAGACATGTCTTTGGGAACTTGTCTGCAGGACTATCATATGGGTAATAATTAGTATGTAAGAATGATTGATATGCTCACAGCAAAAAGATGACCACCAGATAGTTACCTTCCATCGATAATCTCTAGAGCAGAAGTCATTTCAGCAGCCAGACTAGTTACTGGAGAGTAATGTGCATGGATCAAGTCACTAGTGGGTTCGTCCTTCAATGTTCTGGGAGTGCGTACAGCAGATGATATTCCGACCAATCCTCGTTTTGATGATGGTGGAGACCATTTCTGTGGTGAATGAAGAGCATCAATCTGTGCAAAGCTAGTGTGTGGATGGGATTAGACTGCGATTTACATAGAGCCGAACGGAAGATTCAGTCAATGCTTACTCAATGTCAGTGTCCATCATTTTTACAATCATGTATATAGAATCTGATCCTTACGAGACTACCGGTTTATAGGATGATTGTCTACCAGAGCACTTCAAGCTGCTCTAGTTCTGTCCTGTCTCGCTACTCGCTAGATCTATAATTGCCGGTTCATATTGTTGTCCTTGTCGTTCTTGCAAGGCCGAGTCTAGGAACGTACATGCAGCCACGATGCATGTGGATGCCGAGACGCGACAGATGTATAATTTGGAATGTATTCGCGAGTCCTGAACCCTTTGCAGACACAATTGACCCAATAAGCTATGCTCAAAACAAACAACAGCACACACGTGCATACGCGACTGTTGCAGCCCAGATCGTAAAAGAGAAACTGAGACCATATTGAGAGTATTAAGCGACGCGTTCGAAGCCATCCGATATGACTTTTGAGTGGCTCAACTGTTGTCAAACTCATTTTTTTCAAAAGAGTGACGCCGGAATCCGATTAATAGCGAATAAGGTGGAAAAGGAGGTGAAATTCTTGAATATGACATTTTCAGAGACGTGAGCACACGACGATCTATCTCCTTTTAGCGTTTTTGCTCCAAGTCACTCACGAGCTGGCGATGGAGGAGTTGAATGAGGTTGAATTTGCATTAGCTGTATTAAACATCGAAACGAAAGCACCAACGTAAGGTAAGTATTGTTCTGGCCATCTTTCTATTGCTATTGGCCACTTGACTTGACTCTATTCCTTCTCTAGCCTCATAGTCCTTGTTTCGTGACAAGGAAAGCTTTTCGTGCTGAACTGTTTCTGTTGTACAGTACATAGCCATGCATAGATACGAATCAGACGATGATGACGATGAAGATGGCCACGATGTCGAGGACCAAGAATCCCAGTCCGAGTCGAGCCGGGCTGAAAACGAGCAGGATCATCAAGACGAATACACAGTCAACGCACGAGATTCAAATCTGAACCGGAGAAGCAGGACAACGAGGGCCTGTGATCTGTGAGTCTCGACTTGACCAAGTTTGACATTCCGTCCACTTCCTGTTTCCTGTATCCTTCGTTTTGAAATCGCTCGTTTTCTAAACCACACTCGTTTTACTTGGCAACAGATGTCGAAAGAAGAGAATAAAGTGCTCTGGACCTGACGGCCCAACTGGAGCATGTACAAACTGTCAGGGTCTGGGTGCTCCATGTGTGTTTGGGGACTCCAACAAGAAGAGAGGACCATCCAAAAAGGACGGCTCGATCGACCAAAGGTACATATTCTTTCGACAATGTTGCAGTATTGATCGTGTCTTCATTGGCGATATCACCCGATTTGATCACTCTTATATGGTGGCCCTTGTTCATGAACGTGCACGTGCACAGCTCATCATCCTCATCATCTGTCAATATCCTAACAGCGAAATAACTTACGCGATAGATTGGATGCTATTGAAGGCCTACTATCTCAATTCATATCTGCCCAATCAGACCCGTCGAGCTCACGACCATATGGTTCCCCAGCATCAGAAATGTCTGGACATCCAACACCACCATTCTTTGGATCATCATCTGGATATGCCAAAGCATCGCATTCGCCCATGAGTCTGCCGTCTATTGTCAGTACAGACTCGGAAGTCAAGTTGAAGACGTCCTTGCGTCGTCCTTCCTTGACTAGTTTTCGAGATCAAGAAGACGCTACCAAAGTCGTCATTGGTAAGCAGAACTATGATGTGTGCAGGAGCCTGAGCTGCTTTTTTTCAAGCTCTGAGTCCTTTTGCGCACAATAGTTCAAGATCAGCATCAATCAGGAAACATATTATTCTTTGGTGCCACATCAGCAACAACATCCTCAGTGTGGAAGAATTTTTCGCGATATCGTGAAGGTGTATTGAGTATGAATATCATCAATGATAGTAAAGAACTAGGTCTACCCCCACCAGCTGTACCACAACCATGCTCATTCGAGCTGACTGTCCGTTTATCGGAAAACTTTTTCGATATTATTCACCCATTCTATCCGTAAGCCATGATTGCATATGCATGATGCCCCCAAAAAATGCTACAATTACTGAAACGAAGGATTTATTTCCCTACGTAGGATGCTAAGTCGCACATGGTACATGAAACAACTAATGGAACGATCAACTTCATGGCATTTCGCAATGGTATCAAGTGCAGTCTTGGCTCTCGCCTGTCTTTGTACAAGATCTTTTGCAGGCTGGCAATATGATCGAGTATCTCCCAAAGACTTGCATCTCCACTTCTTGCGCAAAGCAAGAGGGTACCTGCATGCCAATCTCGATTACCCAAGTGTTGCATCTGTTCAAACGCTGATATTGTTGGCTTTATGTGGTATTGGTGGTGGTCGAGCTACGAATTCATGGATTTATAATGGATTGGCTGCGAGGATGTGCCAAGAGATTGGCTTGCATCGGAATTTGGAAAAGTATAATATCAAGCATCCAGGTTAGTATGATCAATGCATTCCATAGAAGCAGTTATGTCGTTTTTGCCGCATCTTCACCATCTCATGATATTTTTTCACGCTAGAAATGGATGAACAGACAAAGGACGTAATGCGCCGAGTATGGTTTTGCTGCTATTTGAATGATCGATTTGCTTCAACCGCTACTGGAAGACCATGTGCTATATCCGACGAAGACTTTGATACGGTAAGCATTTGGATGGAAGGCTCCTATCGTGTCTTTTAATGGTTAACTGTTGAAGGACGGAACCAGTGTATCATTCGTGAGAAAGCGAAACAAAAAATCTACGTATGGTTTTTGTTATAAACTCACACACTTCACACACCACATTCTAGCCATATCCAAATGCTCAAGATCCAGACGTGCAGTATCTAATACTACAAGTCCGTCTCTTATCAATCTTTGGTCGTATTAGCTCATTCGTCAACTCGGCGCAAGCTGTTGAAAAGGATCGTGAAGCCTTTCGTCAGGATATAGAATCTAGGTTGAATGAATGGCAATCAACTCTACCACGCGAAGTCAGGAATGTCCAACCAGGATCCATGTGGAATATACGATTGTATTTGGTAGTGCTGTATCACGTTGCTATCATCCTTTTGCATCGAAGGTATGGGCTTGCTGTGGCTTATGGTTTTTTTTGCGTTGCTCACAACAACACTTTTTTGTTGTTGCCACCAGTGTTGGGAATCGCTTGGATGACCCACAATGTTTAAACTCGGCAGCCATAATTACATCCCTGATATCAGCTCTAACAATCCCACGAGCGTCTGTCTCCGCACCCGAGTATCCTATACCAGCTCTTCCCTTCACCATGTATTCCCTACTCACAGCAGCGACATGCTGGGTAACCCGTCTAATGAACTTTAAAGCTCAGTTGTCAGAAAATCAACAGCAAATGCCCAACATGGCAGCCGTTCCAGCATATGAGATTCAACAACTAGTAGTCCTCGTAACGACATGTGAACGACTATCACTTATAAATGGTCGAGCCAAAAAAGTACATGGTCTACTCAAAGACTTCTTACTCAACAAGGATCTGGCTCCTTATATGATGAATATATTTGATATGGATGGAAGGCCAATCTTGGCTTCATTGTCTGGTGCGATGCCACAACAAACTAATGGAATGGGACAACCGCAACAAATGCCACAGCAGCAACAACAACAGGTTCGATTGCCCATCCCACAATCCATGTCAACTAGCATACCTCTCAACGCAGCTATGCAAGGATTCCCATACCTGAATAATAACCCTAGTAATAGTAATAATATGAGACCATATGCAATGCCATACCCAATCCAACTTTCACAACAACAACCAATACAACAACCACCACCACCGGCATACTTTTCACCAACAATACTAGCACAGAGTTTACAACACCCACAAGCACTCTTTGGAGGCTTCACGTTATCTACAGGTCCCATCTCGCCCAATACGCCAGTCGCAAGCAGCACTTTGATGCATACTGGATTGGGGTTGTCTATGCAACCGAATAATTTAGGTGGTGATTTGCTTAATGATTGGATGGAGAATGATGTTGATAATCCATTTAATCAGCTGTGGGAGTCTAGTGATGCATTTGATTTGCCGTTTTGATAAGGAGGAATATGGGGAAGGTTGGTTGTGATAGGACGGGAGGGACTAGCTAGTGGTGTTGTAAGATAAGGTTGTATACAAAAATGTTTCATCACAAAAATGTCACTTTGCATTCACAAAAGTTCTCGTGCTTTGTTTTGTTTCCAAGGAGTTACGTATACCGCTTTTGGTCTTGTCGCATATGTACTGAAATGTACTGGCCGACAGCAAAGAGACACGGATGGAGTTTGGAATTGGCATTCGACATCGTGCAAAAGACCGGTCTTTTATAGATAAAACCAGATGGAACACTCACAGGAAGCTTAGGTCCGCATCTTTCTAATTGAAAATCTGAATTCAAAACATCACAGTAGACACACACCTGCTAGTACAGTCGATAGATCAAGAAGCGGAGCAGAGAGCCACTTATATAAGACACGTAATCGCTCGCTTTCAGATCTAGGTGGATCTATGTTTGAAATGTCTGAATTCAAAACTTCCAAAGCAGGACCCACTCGATTGCACTATCGATAGGTCAATGTGGGAAACAGTTGCTTACTTGTAAATAACACATGAATCTGTTCTTTTCCCACGTGTAAATGAAGATGGATTTAGCTTGATCTGTGCTTGCGTCTCGTAGCAAACACAAATCCCCAAAAACCAACAACACAGTGGAAACACTACAAAGAATCCATTTCGAAAAGATCTAGTCCGCTGAAACTCCAATCATGATGACTTGCATGGCCAGGCCAAATTTGAGCACTCATGTGAGGCTAATGATTGCATCCGCATGAGGCATGAGGCACGGTGCCTGCCACAGTATGAGACGCAGGGTCGAGCTTGCTGCATCTCAGTGCATTCAGTCCGGTGCTGTTTTTGATTGGATCTGTGGTCAAGCATCGTCCAGAATGGTTTCACCAGCTAGAATGCGAACGCACTCATCAAGGATTTGATGAGATTCAATCATGCAGTGAA